TTGATGAATCATTAAAATAGTTCAACTTTAAAAGCTATATAAGAGATTATGAGGTTAAAATTTACAATTATACATATTTCATAATTACAGCAGGCTCCAAAATAAAATTATCTAATGCAATATAAGTGAAAATACTAAAAGTTATTTTAAAATTATTTTTATTCATTATTAATAAATACAAATACTATAAAATATCACAAAAAATTTAAAGTAGGTAAGTGATATTTACCTATGGGTGTAAAATATGTAAGGCTTTAGGTAAAATCACATGTATTATGAAGGTTGTACAATTTTAATTTAATTTATGAATAATAATACTTAAAAAAAATAAAAACACCATTCAAAAATTAGAATGTTTATACTATATTTTGTGAAAAGTAGTTTAGATTTAATGAGAATATACATTTTTTGCATGCTAAACTATAGTATATAGATATTATAGGATATTATTGTATCATTAAACTAGAATGTTTGAAACGAATATTTTAGTTGTTTAATCTTATAAGAATTCAAATTAATTTAATAAAATAAAATCCTTGTTCCTCTGTATTTGTATGTACGAGTAATTATATATATTACCTCTGAATATTAATGATACATTCTAATATTTATAGTAATAATGTTATTTAAACGTAATCAAAAACAAATAATTTTAAATCATAACACGTCATTATTTTACTCAATAGTTAGTTAGGTATTTGATATACTAATATCTATCATATTATGATAATTCTATTTTTTAAATTAAATAATGGATATATATATATATATATATATATTTATATATATTATCTAATATTAATTGATCCAGGTTTCTCTTGGTGGACTATGTTTTAATTATCAAACTCTACCATATCTGTAACTCAACAAACTTATGACGATTTATATGAATATAAATTATAGTAATTTATATATCGTTAAATTAGTAATAATTTATAAAACGTTTATTATTATGAGTTAATATTATAAATATTTCAATTTTAATAAATAAAAAAAAATAAAAAAAAGTGATAACTGCATTAATGTACTACGGAAGTCATTATTTAAATGCTCATAAAGAATAAGTTAACTCAAATTGCAGTGATAAATTAAATGACCTTCTAAGACAAAAATAATATTATATTATAAAAATAAGATATTTGTCAATATAGTATAATCAAAATAGTGAAACTACTTCAAAATTACAAGTTCTTCTTGTCATAGTTGAACATATTATTATCGTAAAAAACATTGTGTTTCTAATGAGCAAAACATTTAATATATATTATATAATTAGTAAAAATTGAATACTTGCTAAAAAATACAATAAATAGGTATAATTAAAACTGAAAACATTGAGTTAATGTAACAAAAACGATCGAAACAAAACGGATAAAATATAATATTAGGTAAAACACTAAAATAGAATCTATTTAAATAATAAATATATATATTTAATATAACAAATATATAAGATTTAATTTATTATAATATACGAATGAAATGCTAATTAATAAAAATTATTTCCACATACTTTGAAACTATTCACACACATAATATTATATATATTAGAGACGGCCAAACGGTCGATCGCGGATAATTTCGGAGTCGATCATGTTAGATATTATTTTTAGGTCACGTGCACGAAAATTAATCGTAGTAATTATGAACAAATTGTCGATTAATTTTATCTGTATAGTTTTTATCTGTTATACTGGTTTATAAAAAAAATTTTCAAGAAAGTCGATCTTCAAAGGTGAAGTATATTTTTAGTAGATCGTGGCCAAAAAAGTTTGGCCATACCTGATATATATAAAGTGTATAGATTAAAATTTTTCGTAAACCAAAAAATGTTAAATTATTTCATCTAAATCTAATTTATTACAAACAATAATAATATAATTTTAATTTTATTAGTTTCACAAAATCATTAAATTTATAATATAGTTTCGATTGCTTAATTATTATTGAAAAAATTTAGTCGTAAATTGGCAAATTTAATAAAAGATCTAAAAATGTGTGTTTTAATGTGTATACATAGCAAATTATTTGATTCAAGTCAGTTGATAGTCTTTAGTTCTTCCGTTGACTCCCTTTAATTTGATTTATTTCAACTTGTAATATTTATTTGTCAAACTGGAATAACTATGTACAAATTATTTGTCGATCTGAATCAATAATTCTACATATTTTGTGATTTGGTCTCTAAGAGTCCTTCCAGCAAAGTGTTCTTCCCAGAAACTATGATATAGTTTCAATATATGATGGCAAGGATGCACGAGTTCGCCACAATGTTGTATATATTGGTTATATTATTTTTAAAATCAATTATAAATTAATAAATTATAAAATATAAAATTTAAATAAATATTAAAATAAGATCAATAATAAATAACTTAGAAATGAAAAAAAAAAATTGTAAATAAAGTAAGAATGTTATATTTTTTGTAAAATTATGAGATATCAAGAAAATACAATTTATTTAGACAAATTAACTTATTAAAAAAAAATATTTATTCAAACATTATATACTAAATAATGAAAAATAAAAAAATAAAAATGTATAAATATTAAGTACCTACCCTTAATTTTAAACATATCAATATTATACATTATTTTTAAGGGTAGAAATACTAATAAATATTAACAGTTTTATTTACACAAATAGCAATTTTAAAATAAAAATAAATATATAGCTTTTAGACATTAATTTAAGATCAACCAGTGGCACTTAACATAAGTTATTGTCTGATGAGTTAACATAATAATATAATTAAAATATATTACCTTTTTGTTCTTTTGTACTTGATATCCATGTACCAGTATCACATAGTAATATTAAATATGTGTTTATCTATGTAATTTAATAACATTAAAAACAAAAAAATTACTTTACGACCACTGTTTTGGTAACTACTAATTCATTTCAGAAAATTTGACCAATGTCGGTTCTGTTTGTATTGTAAAGTATAATTTTACATTGAAAATATTAAAATAGTATCTGTAAAAACGCTTGATTGTAAAACGATCCGAGTAAAATATATTAATTATAATTTTATTATAATATATTAACATACGTTAGACAAATTATTATAATTAAATAATGAGCTCAGGAAATAAATTATGATGCATTGCAAAGATTAATTTTAATATGTGTTTAAGAGTAGGAATGAATTTAAGACATTTTAAATCAATAATATTAATAAATACATAAAATTCGAATTTTCTGTTATTTTTTTTTTGAATATAAATATAATTTAAAACTTGTAACTCCAGCAGTCGAGTTTCTTCATATATTTAGTTCAGAACTATAAAAAAAAATTACTGTATACAACACAAAACATTAAATTATTTTCTAAACAAATTTGAAAGTTCTTAATTAAATATTTGGTTAATAGCATTGAAAATATAAATACATTTCTCGGATAAAGTTAATTTATAAAGGCAATCATATAAATAAATTATTTCATTCTATAGTTATTGTACTGATTTTTGAATTACTTAAAATAATTAACACATGTATACTATAATACAAAATATACCTATGAATTCAGAGATTATAAATTACATTGTCCATAATTATTGGAGACAGTAAATATATTTTGGATTTGATACTCGATTAAAATAAAATCATATGAAAAATTACATTGATAAATTATAAGATTTCACTTATTGTTCCTTTATTGTTAAACAAAAATCAAATAGTTCAGCATATTTTCCCATACCATTTTTCTGTTACCTAATTATATACTATTATACAGTACATATTTAATTTTATTTTATTTGCGAAGTTAATTTATTAATTGATTCGATGAAATTTCTCTATTATTAATTTGTATAGTTGAATAGTTTTTTTAATGCAGCTAGGAAAATATGGAAGAGAATTACCCTTTTTTTAAATCATGTACAAATAATAGTTCTGAAAAATTATAAAGAAATTAAATATATATAATTAATATATTTAAATTTAAATAGCATAAAAATGAAAAATATCATTTACAAAAATTGTATAATGTTATCAGTCGGCAACATAGCATGTATTTAGTTATAAATTATGATATCATATTTGAACTGATTACGTTTTACAAATCTCTTGAATATTTTAATATAAATATCTAAAATCAATAGAAAATCTTTTACCCGACATATTATGTTCATTGTTTGAGAAGGTGGGATAATTTATAAAAAAATTTCTTGGTAAAATCAAAAATTATTCTGAAAGTATCTAATGTGGTTTTAATAAATCAATAACATTTTACAATATATAACAAACGTTTTCATTTTTAATATAGATTTTTCTGTATACTATTATTCAATGGAATAAAAATTCACATAATTTATTATTAAATTAAATATGACATTTCAATGATATAATCATTAAAGTTTTTATAGTGATGTATAGTTTCAACAAAATTATAATGTCTTAATATTATTGCCTTATTTACCTATTTTTTTTAAATAATAATTTGAAATTCAACTATTTATACTTATAAATCATTTAAAATACATGCAAAATGAAAACAATTCTTGGTAATGTAATTATTAAATTATGTATTGTCACATATAATTGTATAATATAATATGTTTATAATACGCATACATAAAATATTAAAAAAAATGTTTATGAATTCAAAATATTCTCATGGTGCGAATAATATAGGAATATAAATAATAACATTAAAATAATTTGATTAAGTTACAATAAAAAAACACCAAGATTTATTAAATAATAATATAATTCACGGTTCTTGATATAAAACCAATGGTCCTTGATAGAAAAGACGAACAATTTTCACAACACAATTAGTTGTTTTCAAAATTACTTCTATGTTTGGTTTTGATTGTCATAACTTTATATATTAAATTCTATTGGGATTAATTAAATTATTGGCACATTGCATATCTAAGCGTTTTATATTAAACTGTTTGTTACATAAAAAGTTTTAATATATTATTTGTTTTGTATTCATTAATTCGTTATTATAAATACATTAAATTGATTTGCATTTTTTTAACGCCGTTATTTTTAATGGAAAAATTCGAAAATTTATTATTATTCATCGATTCAATTTCTAAAAATATTTTAAAAAATTGGCGCTTCGATTGGTACTGATTTATACAAACAAGTAGTCCAAATTTTATTTTAACATTTTTTAATTTTTAAATTTAAATATTAAGTGTTATAAAATACTACCAAGTGTTTAAAATGGATAAAAATATTTAAGTATTTAAGAAATTTGAAGTGAATTCAAATTTACAAGGTCATAATCTGATAACCTTGAATACCTTAAAGTCGTTGCAACTTTGCGAGTGTACATTGGATATAAATGATAATACAGTTATCGACGTCAATAAAAATTGACAAATTTTTGTGGTACTTTATAACAGATATAAAAACAAAATTGCTAATGTAAAAATTGTATATTATTATATTTTGTCTGGCTGATAGTTGTTAATGGCCCATCGGCCCATTCCTGTGAAAATAATCATGTTGATAAAATTTAATCGACTCTACTAGGGACCATTGATTTATATACGTAAGACGCATCGCGTTGAATACTGATAAATAAATGTATAGTTTTATTATTATTTGTTTTTTTTTTATTTTCAGAACGACGTATTTAGAGCTGGAAATACGGTCGCTGTTTAAATGCGTTTACCCGGAATCGCATTCGGAATAAGATCCGATGGATGATTCGGTATCGCATTCCGACGTGGGGATCGGTTTCTCTTGCTTGGGTTCCGCAGCTGATTTCGTAAAAGCGATCGCGGTCGATTCTGGCGACACGATCCTTATCTTGACAATGGACTGCACGGCCTTCGACCTGCCCTGGACGGCGTCGGGCGAGCAGCCAGTAGCCGTGATGATGATCTCGTTCATCTGGCGCGTGCCTCCTTCACGGGGAGCCGAAGCCGCGGGGCGAGAGCTCACGGGAGGGACGGGAGCCGCGCGGCGCGGCAATGGGTGGGGGACCAGGGCTGTGGGGTGTGGATGTCCTCCGGGTGACTGCGGCGCGAGCGGCTGACCGGCGGCGGCCCGTTTTGCCTGCTCACACTTGCAGCAGCATTGGCCGCGGGTGCCGTGGCACTCGCCCTGGCAGGGCTCGGTCGCGCAGAGCGGGCCCGCGGTGGTCGGCGGGCGCGGGACGCAGCCGTGATTGTCGGCCACCTGGCCGGCTGGGTACATGGACAGCGGCGCGTTGCAGTACATGGCCGGCATCTCGCCCTGCATCAGCTGCGAGCTCATGTATGAGGTCATCAGGTCGAACCAGCCCCGTTCGTATGCCGCCCACACCCTGTCGTCCATGCGCAGCTCGCTCAGTTCCGCGTGTCTGATTTGTGCTGGCGTGCACAGCGGATAGAGCGGTGCGCGCGGCCCGGGTAGCGAAAACTTCTCCATCCGTCCGCCGTCGCTTCCTCTGCCTGCGCCACCACCGCCGCCGCCTCCTTTTCCGTACTTACCCGCCATGTCCGCTGTAACAATCACACATACATGATGCTAATCGTTTCGCAGTGAGGAGCACATCGAGGAGAACACGCGCACGACAACGATCGAACCGCATCGAGAGCGAACCGTTGCACCCTGCACTCGTGCACAGCGTAACAACACAGATCGAACGGATCGAATCGTTATCAGTTCGAACAAGCAGTCAAAGCACAGTCATTTCAAGGTGCGATTCCTGTGCGAGCGTCTGCTTTTGTTTGACCGTTGTTTTTAGCCGCGCGGGCCAGAATAAATTCCTATAACCGACGAGTGCAACGCGACAGTGTTGTGCCCACTTGTGTGTAGTCCTACTGAGATAGTTCTGTCTGGTGGACTTTATTAATTTTCTTAACATTTAACGAACATAATATAAATTGTTTTTAATAAAATCGATTAGTATACATTTAACGTAGCAAAAAACAATTACTATGTTTACGAGAGATTAACGAAAAACAAGCTTTTATACACCATCACCTGTCAAAGAAATAAAACCAAACCCATACAATTTTTTAAACCGAGGAAATTGAAGGGTTTATTAGTATATTAATCGAAAACATTTATGAAATGGTTCAACGAAGTTTTAGATTAAGCTGGAATCGGTTTAACTACAGGCGTTTACAGCCGTTCGGCGATGACCGCTCCGGGAGCAGTTGAGTTACAGTCGCACCCTACGAATTACAATATCATCGTTGTTTAAATTAATAGTTAAAATGTCCGCCGAGAGTTCACAAATTTGTGTTTCACCAGATGATGATGTAAAACTTGTTGAACCTGTGAGCAAAAATCCATCCATCTTTATTTAATGCAGAACATGAATTGTACAAAGACAAAAATAAATTTATAATTTGTGTCAACAATTGCTAATAATACAATTGAAAAAAGAATGGTGTACAAGCGTTTGTTCTTAGTCAATGTCTTGTAAACATAGTACTGCTAGTAATTGTTTTTTGCGACGTGACACCAACATTTTAAATGTATACTAATCGACTTTTTTAAAAACAATTTATATTACGTATATCAAATGCTAAAAAAATTAATAAAGACCACCTGAAATAATTATCTCAGTAGGACTACAGTGGGCACACCGTCGTAATTCGTTCTTGCCCGCACGGCTGAAAACAACGGTCGCGCGATTACAGACGTGCTCAGGAATCGCACCTTAAGCGTTTCGGATTCACGCAAACGCAGTGGCACCGGAACAATTTTTGAACCGTTAGGGCTGAGCACAACTACAAATACAGAGGAAGGTAAAGTAAATATATTATAACGACTGTATCCGATCACATCGGTTGTCGGTAACCAAATGATTCTTGAAATAAATTAGATTACAAATCTATTGTACAATCGCGATAATGGATTTCCTATTCTGAAAACTATTCTATTTTGATTATTGCGGTCAGGCACGCACCCAGGATTTTTGTTATTTTTAAATAAAACTATCAGTTTACTAGATGTTAATAATTTTTTAATATTTAAAAATGGACAGTATATTAAATATATTTGAGTTTTGTTTTTATATTCAACATAAAAATCAATATAGAAGATGGCGTATGTATTTTAGTCACGGGAGCGTATAATCTAGGAAAATTTCCGTGGGGGCAGTTACCTATTACTCCCGTTGTTCCGGCGCCCATGCGCGAACGTGTTTTTTGGTTTCGGTGGATCGATCTTGTGGGACGCGGATCACAGTCGACAAGGCCATCGCAATGTTTCTGATATCGGTTTTTGGACATGAAGCGAATTTCATTTCGCACTAATTGCATAGTTGCACCAAGCATTGTTGTCCTGCTATCGCTATTCATGCTTGACGCAATTCTGTGTGCTTTGACGGAGCAATCAAATCACTTGTGATAGACCTTTACGCATTTTTTTGGTCGTTTAATTTGATATAAAGCGTACGTTTTCGTTTTTCGATTACACCCCTACAATTTGAATTAACCAAAGAAAATAGAAAACAAAATATTTGTTTAACAGGTCTATAACATGCTAGCCTAGACCCGTCCCTTTAAACCAGCGATTCCCAAACTTTTTTTTTCAAGATGCCTTTTTTTGAACCCAATTTAACCATGGTGCTCTGCTGTGAATAACATTAAAAACAGAACAAAAAAAAAATATTGATAACCAATTTTATAAAATTATAATTATATGCATTTTTAAAATTAAGAAATAAATAAACAAAAATTATTGTTATTATGATTATAATTATTATTTAAAATAATAATAAGATTATAATGAGAATATCCAGATTTACAATAGAAAATATTACATTATTTGCCATAAAGTTTTTATGAAAACCATAAGAAAAAACAATTTTATACATTTTAAACTATTTATTATGAACCATAGACCACGGTGTCCTTATAAAGTGGTCATGATGCCCTTAGGGCACCACGTAGCACAGTTTGGAAACCGCTGCTTTAAATAATCGGTCGAATCACTGACAAAATATAATATCATTAATATTTTTTTGTCTTTCTAAAACGGATTTCCATTATATGCAAGTGTAGAAAGTTGTAATTTTAAAATGGTAAAATTATAGTATTTTAATAATTTGTTAAATTGTATTTGGATCCAGTGGATCTAGAAATTTTTTCTATTGAAATAAAAATTAAATATTAATTTATGGTTTTGGAAATTGAATGCTTAAATCTTAGTTTGGTATTAATATATTTAAGCCGAAAAGGATTACTTTTGTTGTCTTAATTCGGATTAATCTATCTAATTTCAAAAATATATATAAAACAATTATTTGAATTATAAGAAAAAGAAAACGAGTAAAAATGTTATTAACAAAAACCAATTAATTGTAATTACGTTAATCAAACTTAATAATAAATAGTGACATTCATATTTTAATTCGTTCTAAAGAAAGTGTAAGAAAAAAAAGTTTTCCGTTGATATATTTATTATATAAATCAAACATACTTTGAAGAAATATATTTCTGAGCTAGAAATACCACAGAGTTTAGTATAAAAGTCTCAAAAAAAAAAAAAATAAAAAATAAAAAAAAACATTCAATTATTAACATTAATTATCAAAAGCAAAAAATAAATAAACGTGAAACGTCATTGTATACATTCACGATAATTGAAAATTATACCTGCCCCTTCGTAACTGCAGCAATGACACTGAATCTAACATATATGTAATATTATAATGACACATTATACTATATTCATTATCAGGATATAACAAAAAATAATTGTTTTCTTTACTTATAATATCTTCAAATAATAAAATATCATAACAAATATATTCGTTTCGTATCTCAGTAAATTAAAAAATAATGATAATAGAGCAGTTTCAAAACTATATTAATATTTTAGATTTAAAAAAAAAAAAGTAAAAATTCATTATTATTACATATATTATTGATATAGAAACATGATATACATAGATAATAATAATATATATTGATTTATAGATCTTAATCTAAATTAATTATATATTAAGTCGAATTTGGGACATTATAGATGAATAAAAAGTACTAAGTAGAAAATACGAGTAGTGTAACAAAGAGAAGCGAATGAATCAGCATATTACAAATATACAGAAGATATTATTATCGTAGTGGTTAATTGAAATTATTAAATTAGAGTTTTGCTTATTCGCTAATTTTATATTAATCTAATGATCATTATAGAGTTCCAAATAATATTTATTTTATACTCAATAGATCATTTTTCATAAAAAAAAAAAAATAAAAATAAATACATAAACAAACAAGTTAGTACTTACATTGCGTAATATCCCTATTTACTGTCCAGTGATGTAAATGTTATCTTCAAAATCGCCTCAAAGTGAAGAACTGAGAAAACAAAAATACCCAATCAATAAAAAAAAAACGAAGTTATTTAATGTAATAGTGGTTAAAAAAAATAAATCGAATTTAAGGACGTTGAGTTGATTCAAGTACCTGAAAAAATGAAGACGGGTACACACCGAATGGAACTTGTCACACAACTGACTGGGGGACGATAGAGCTCGCTACCGATCAGTAGGAAAAAATTCAGTTTTGGTAAAATCTTCCTGGTGGTAGGTAATAAAGAAACAGAATAAATATCGAATAGTCGTTCGGTACACATAGGAGAGAAGAGTGAGGGTTGAGTGGTGAATTCCATATAGGCGCCCAATGTTCACAATCATTATTCTACATACAATATTTAACTAAATTACTTTTTGAAAAGTAACAATCACAAAAATCAATTGCTGATCGATTTTTTTTCTCTATACAATCACTATATATTACAATAGATTACATTCTTATTTATTTTTAATAGATTTTAATAATATAGAATACCATCAATCCTTAGTATACCTAAACTCATATTGTTGAAAATAAATTATGGTAAAATCTTCACTCTTTCCGAGAGTGAAATATTCAAATTGTTCGTATCGTAAATTAATAAACTATTCTATATATATATATATTACTATATGACTGTTGATATTATATTTCTAATAACTTATAGATCATAAACTAAAAGAATCATTGACATGCACAGATTTCGTATAGTGCTCAGGAAAAATATATTATTTTTAATTGTATTTCTTTGTGACCCCAAATACTTCGTTACTCAATTAAATACCCTAAGTAATTATTTTGAAATATCGTTCAGTTTGTATATTACATATGTATAATAATCAAATTTTGATAAAAATATTAAAAAAGAATGTACTATATTTTTAAAATCTACAAATACTTAATTATATTTATAATAATAACTAGTATTAGAAAAAAAAGTGGAAATAGGTAAAATATTTCGTTCAAATATTTTGCGTTTTGTCGAGGTAATATTAAATTTATAGAAATTGTTTTTGTTTTTTCTTCATAGCATATTTTATAATAAGGTATTTTATTTTAATGTTAAACCTTTATTATTTTTTTGTAATGAAATTATACGTTCTGGGATGTAGAACCTACAAGTGAAAATAAAATCTCAATCGAGCTGAATTACGTTTTGTATACATATTATTAATTATATGGTATCTTGATTAAACTAAATATACAAGCATTTACAATTATGACGTTTAATTTTACGTAATTTAAAACTGTATAAAATAATATTATTTTTTATTATTTTAAATAGTCCAATACTGCAAGATTTTTATTTTTATTCGAATTTATGAAATCGATTAAAACATTTTATTTTTAAATGAGTCTTTTAAGCATTATGGACACGTATGACAAATAAATCTCAAAAAGCCAAAACTTCTTGATCTGGCTTTGTTCACACGTATAGAATTTATTTTAAGTTAAATAATGTTATTACACGGAAAATTAGTTTTGGTAACTTGAACAGATAAGTTTATATTTTTAAAGAATTAAGACTACTATAGAAATATACCATTAAAGTCATGACAAATACATATCAAATATTTCTTTTAAGCCAATATTAAAATAATGTAAAAACGTCTAGACAATTTAGACATAGCATTAGCATCTTTAGTGATCATTAAAATCTTCATTAAATTAATTGATTTTTGATTTCGCTAAGTTTTATTTTTCATCACTAGAATAATGTTATTTTAATTTTGTATCATTCCACTAAATTGTTTTTTCTACATATATAAAAAAAAATATTTAGTAGTTTATATATATATTCAAACCATTTATCACATTAAATTAATTTTAATAAAAATGTTTTTGACTACATACACACTGAAAATTATTGTAATTATTGTATAGAATTTCAATATATTTTTTATATTTTTTGTGAAACTTGGAATGTATTTTAAATTTAATTTATCTACAGTACATATTTTGTTTGTTTTATATTTTTTAAAAATTAATTTAACCATTTTCAAAATTTGGTTCCCAATTTATTTTTCAATATTTTAATTTATTTCTCATTCATAACATTGTTTTTTTCGGTTCATCCTAATATTGATGTTAATTGAATAGCCAGTTAAAAATTATTATACGTTTATGAATACTAGGTGGGTATTTAAGTGATATAAATATGTGATGTTTCACATACTTACCGTTGTTATTTTTTTATTCCCGTTTGAACTGTTGGTTAGGTAATACATAGCGAACAAAATATACTTGCTATTGTTATTTTTTCTGTAATTTATATTCGATGAAAGTATATTTACCACGTTTTTCTGTATTCATGTCTTATAAGAAATCAAAGTTTGCATTGTATTATTTACATAAATTTAGATTTTCTTCCCTGAAGTCTAAACATTTGATACCTTTTCACATGCACTAAACACAAGAAACTATCGAAACCACGACATTTTGCAATTACTATAAATATTATTACAAGAGGAAAACTTATTAGTTAGTTTAAAAACCAAATAACGTTATTCGAGACATAATACTTTGAGCTAACAAAAACAGTACGCATTATACTGATTTATTATAATATATTCTCGTCTCATTTTATCTCTTCAGGCGACCCAGACTGTTATATGGCGGCGTATAGGAAACACATCAAGATAAACATTTTTTTTTTTTTTCGAATCCAACAAAAAGTATCCGGCCTATATCGTATATTACCTACACATTAAGATAACATATTATTTTGTTTAAACCTTACTAAATATTTAGGTGAAAACAAGACCAACTGCTTGAGTGCCTGGGAATATAAACTATTGTACATTATATACTTACAATTTATCATTCTTAATGCGTTTGTCTTGTTTTTTATTATTATTATTAACAAAATCACTTTATTTTTTATCGATATTGGTACCAAAAAATGAGATGAGCAATCATATTTATGTATGTTGAAGTAGGGCTTAAAAGTTAAGCTTGACTTGTCACATAGACATAATTTTGTTTTTATTTACTTTGATCGAATTATTAAATTAGATACTAGATATAGGAACTTATAAGTAATATCAATGGTAGAGCGCCTCCGTATACATTATATTAATAAAAGAAAAATTTCTTTAGTTCATTCCTAGTTAGCGCAGTGTAATAATTAACTAAAAATACACACAACTTTTCAAGCAAATAACAATTGTTTTTATTATTTTTTACCATATTGCTTAGAACGAATTATTATAGTATTTCATCGGAAAGGTAGGAAACTGTGATCGAATTTTATTAAATCATGTAATCAACCAAGTTAACAGTTGTAAAAGTTTACACTTTATTTGACACATTAATCACTATAGAATAATTGTATGTTTTTTTGGACATACAACAATTTTTATATTCTAAAAATCAACTGGATTGTAATTAATTATTTGAATTGTAAAAGGTTATTATATATTAGTTATTTGATATTTCTATAAGAGTTATTACAGAAACAAATGATGAAAAGTTAAAATAATTACAGTGCATATTGAAATATATATATATATATATATATATGTTAGCAGCAATGTGTAAAATAGTGGAATTTTATGTAATATTTAGTTATTTTTTAAGAAATATATAATATTTATATCTTTACATCAATTTATTTGGTATTTTGTATAATAATTAGGTATTTTATAAAATTACGATTTATTTTTTATCATAATGATACTAAAAATTAAATCAAAGACAATTTATTGTATTAGTGCAAAAATAAATTTATTAAGAAATACCAATTATTACAGAACATATGCATACATACAAATTTATAATTTAAATCATGTGGCCTTCTTTTATTTTTTGGTTTTTAAATTAGCATTAGTAACATATTATATTAATTTATGCTATTGTTCATCAGTTAAAAATACATAATTTTTTGTTATTATTGAAATTATGTTACATAATGCACACTTGACTATCCACGCATAATATTTTATTGAAGACTAAAATGTAAAAATTACAAATAAAGAACATACAAGTATAGGTTTTAACACATTATCTATACATTTTTTGGCATTTCATATAATGCCTAGGTCGTTTAAATAATTATTATAATTATTAATTATACAGATTTCCGAATATGTTTTTTATTACATAAAATTCTTAGTCATTATATAAAATGCCATGGTTGTACACGTTGCCGCTAACATATATATATAAATATATATATACTTGTATATAATCAATATAACTAAACAATTGGATATTCGAAAAAAATTTAAAAATCGAACTATGATATAGAATCATTAGACACGAATTACAATTATTATGCATTTAAACAATGACTGGTTTTCAAGCTCTTACGCTAACTATACTACCGAAAGAAGAGTATTGGACTATACATATAAAATGAAAATTATTTCAAATGATTATATCGTGGTAATAAATATAAATATAATGAGTTGATATTGAATTTTAAATAAGGAATTAAATTATCATATACAATAGGGAGCATCAAATATTTGCATTCATTATTATACGAATACATTTACCCATCACATTTCAGGATTGTTATTAACAACTTAATTTATATCTAAAATCGTGTAAGCTAGATTAATTAGATTATCTGGAAGCCTAACGTGGTAAAAGTCAAGTTCTAATATAAATTATTTTATTGGTCATCGTGTATTATTCATTATAATTATATTCACCAATTTTCATTTGATAAAAGGTAAGTTTTTAATTTACACTATATTTTTTATATTATAATCAATAAATACTCGTATATATATGGACACTTTATTATACAAAAATGGCTTAAATATTATGCTAAACCATAATAGTCGGCAATATTAGAGAACAAAGCTGATCTTGTAAATTGATACTACGATTTTAAAAGATGAGTCAATACTATCCAAGTCTTATATTAATTAGCAAATTAATATTTATTTCTACTAAATAAACTTAATATCACAAAGATTTCGGTTTTTTCAATTGCAGTAAAGTATTTTATCATTTTTAAAAATTAATATTTTCTTTATAATTTTTACACAGTAATTGAACTTATTTGAAGTACTAGTATGTACTAACTGCTCATCTGTTTAGTGAACAACTAAAAAATATATCAATGTATTAATACTTTGTTTATTTATTGGGCACATCTGAGTATACAAATTATATTTTACATAGCTATTCAAAGTAGAAAATAAAGAATTTTCTACATATTTTATGATTTACCTAAAAAATATTTTTTTGTAAGCATATAACTTTTTTAATTAAAATACCAGCCCCGAGTAGGTCTCTAAAAACTATCTTACTCATTCGTTTACACAATTATATTATAATGTTAATTTAATGATTGTGTCCATTGAAAAACCTTGAATAATTCTTTAGAAGATTTTATAATATTCTAGATTTAGATTCCGAACAAAACGAAGAATTTAAATGGGATTTACAATAACATGTTTTTTTGGATTTTTTTTTTACTTAGTAGACATTATATCTTATGGATTACAGCGATAAACCGGTGAAATACATCTAGGACCGTAAGAGTAATACTTGATTTAAAAAACTTTTTCTAGGTAACAAAGTAACAATAATAAATTAAATAGCTAATTGGTCCCGAACCTAATAAAATGTTGTCACAAAAAAAAAATAAATAAATCGTTAATTTTTGGTACAATAAATCTGAAAAAGTATTTGTCTTTAAATCATTGAATCTTTATCTCTATTAATCTTATGAATTTTAATTCATCTTCAAAATATTGATATTCGCACCAATTATAGGATTAATATAATATTCATATTTTTAACACAATAAATTTCATTTCATTTAATTAAAAATCGTATATGATTTCAGTCGATGATGGGGATCAAAACATTCTATAGAGGACAAAACATTTTCATAACAGGTGGTACCGGATTTATGGGAAAAGTATTAATTGAAAAATTATTACGGTCTTGTCCGGACATAAAAAATATCTACGTTCTAATAAGACATCGTAAAGGCTATGACATTACCACAAGAGTCAATGATATGTTAAACTTACCAGTATGAGAATTTAATTTAAATGAATTATGTGTAAAAAAAAAAAAAAAATCTGTTATAATTTTTATGACTACATATTAGTTGCACATGATATGAATAATATCATAAAGTCATACATCTATATATAATTTATTCTAATCAAAGCAAAACTATGAACAAAATTGTTTCTGACATGTATAGTTATATTGATTCGTCCGTTGGAATATTCGTGAACTCGTACATGCGAGTTTAATGACAATTTTTTTTTGTTTTTAAGTTTATTACATTTTATTTTCGATCGTTGCTCTCGCTTATTCAAAGTAGTGTCTAATACTAATTGGTTTATTAATTTGAATTCAAAATTGTATGTTTACGAATAATGTCTAAACCATATTTTTGTGTTCCATATTAATTATTCATTATTTTTGGAAACCTCCCCTATTTTCGCGGGTCCTTATATCTCATTCGATAAACTTTATGATTTTATGAATCTAAAATAGGTAAAATAAATATTCTCCTTGTGTAATTTCCACACATTTTTTATTACCTGTTAATGTATAAATGAAATATTGTAGGAAAATATTTTTTGTTCAAACATTAAGTATAGCAAATTTTATTTTTAAATAAAAACTAGAAAAAATTTAATTTTAATAAAGAACAGTTTATTTCAATAATATATAGGTACATAAAATGGTATATTAGTGTTAAAAAAAAATAACTTTTTTATGTTCGCAAAATACAAGATAACTGTGTATTAAGTACCTATACAATAATATTCAACAATAAAACATTATTTAAATTTAGTTAAACTGTTATACTATACAAGGCGTATGTAGAGAAAATTATAAGACAAGCTTTCTATAACCGATACATGGACATGAAAGACTAGATTTTAACAGAGAAGAATGGTTAATCAGATTTGCAATAAGGCAAGGCCTTTAGTAGAAAATAAGAGTTATGTACTATACAGCTATCTATAATTTATATAATTAATTTAATGATTAATTAAAAATTATAATAATAATTTACATTAGGTACCTTATTAAGAAATCAGTATCGTACAAAAGTAAAATATATTTCGGTTTGTGAATATCTGTGCAGTTTAAATATGTGCTAGAATAAATTATTGTCTTTTACTGCTGATTACTGACAATTAATACAATCAAATGCAGTAAACAAATTGATTAATTTATTTTGAATAATATATTGTCAATTAACGAGTACTATATTTTAATATTTTACTGTTCCCATCGTTAAATGACATTTTCTATAATCGTAATATATCGTAATAATCAGAACACCTTAAAACATTGACTTAAAATATATTTGATTCTTATTGCATTAGCTGTTTGAAAAGATAAAAACGGAGAATCCTGGTGTTGCTGAAAACAAAATCATACCTGTAAAAGGTGACTTGAGTAAAATTCGGCTAGGATTAAGCGATGACGATTACAACATGTTGACTGAAAATGTATCAATCGTATTTCACGTAGCTGCAACAGTTCGTTTTGATGATCCCATCCACGATGCAATTATAAAAAATGTGAGAGGAACCCGTGAAGTTGTACAGTTGGCAAAACAAATGAAAAATATTTTGGCAAGTAAACATAAATATTATCAGATACATTTTATTAATATAATATGTCAATATATATAAATATAATACATTAATAATTATTATATAATCAATTTAGGGTTCTTGTCGAATGTGTCGAATGTTTTATAGTGTATATGTTTTTTTTATTTAATGCTAACCATTTATTTGTTTTGAAGAAAGTCCTAGTTGATAAAATTCAATTATTACATAAATATTATTATTACTATATATTTCATTACAAATAGCACACAAATTTTTAAATTTTCTAATAACTTATAAAATACGTTATTTTTTCATTGATTTAAATGATCTGAAAATTCATGTTCGAGGACAATAACTTTAATTTTTTATTGTTTTAAAAATACACTCTAATAGTATTTCTTCAGTAAATAATATTAATATCATTATAATATGTATATAATACTCTCAGAAGTATGGCTAACAGGCTTGTAGGGAGTATATATGAATTATTTGTTAATTCTAATGCAATTAAAAATGTAATGTTGTTAAGTTGAATAAATAACTACTATATTAATCAATAATACAATTTAATCGAGAAACTGCATTTCATGACGTTGTATTTTATAAAATAATAATATTACAGGTGTTTTTACATGTATCAACAACTTACTGTAATTGTAACAGAGTTTTTGTGGAAGAGAAAGTTTATGAATCTCCAATCAGTTGGCAAGATGCAATTTTAATCTCAGAAAATTTAGATCCAAAACTATCTCAAACGTGTTCAAAAAAATACAGTCATGAATACATAAATAGTTTAGTTAAAATAAAATAAATTTTGTTAGTTATAAAAGTTTATTTCGGCATAAATACCTTTTTATATATGATATAATTTTAGTAAAAAAAAGTTTTTCCTTTGACATTTTTGACTATGTATTGGTTCATTTATATATTTGGCTCATTCTCAGAATATTTTCATATCTTTATTCATCATAAATACCAAACTTCTTGTAACTAAATAATATAGGTAATAATAATTATATTTAAGATCAGTATTATACATATATATCAATTTTTAATCGTAATTTCATGTTTCGTTTCTTTTGTACACATATACAGTGGATCCCAGATCGCGATAATATGTCAAAATCTTTTTATAAACAGAAAAAAAGTAAATCCCCTTGGAATGTTAAAGACCATATAGTATATATATTTTATGTGCACTATACAATACTATACTTGTGAGATATTCATTTTTCAATAAAGAACCTGAAATTACCCATTAATAATTCCTATTTCGTTTCTACATAGTGATTATTGTATATTGTAGTAATGTAATTTTATTATTAAAATATAAAAAAATAAAGTAATATATGTATATACAATAAAAAAAATTAAGTGCGTAGATTAAATTTTCAATGTTTTTTATAGGTTTTTAGGATCATTTCCAAATACATACACTTTTACAAAGCTATTGGCCGAGAATATAATTGATGAAGAAGTTAAAAAAAAAGATAATAAAATGAAAATGGTTATATTCAGACCATCAATAGGTAAATATTTTGTAACCTGTTTAGTTCAAATTTATATCTTGTGATTTAGCGAGAAAGTTTCGTCTAAAATAACATAGTGTTATAATATTGCTAAAATGTTGAGATAATTATAAAATATAGATTTATTTAATTAGTGGAAATTAAATTAAAATTCCTACACGATCTCATGTTTTATCGTATTAAATTTACTACTTTATAACTAGTGTATTATTTTATTTAATAACATCTAGTTAATGCACTTCATTATTGTGTTGTGTTTGTCTTACAGTCATATCGACGATCAAAGAACCTATTGTCGGATGGATAGATAATGTAAACGGGCCAGTCGGTCTTATGACAGCATGTGGTAAAGGAATATCTCTTGTCACGTATGCTGATAAAAATATAACCCCGGACTTTATGGCTGTTGATGTGTCAATTAAAGCAATTATTGTAGCCGCTTATCACAGCGGGACGCACAAGTATTTGTTCATTTTATACAAGTTTGAATTTAAATAACATAAGTTCCATAAATAATATAAAGTCAGAACATATAGCTACAGCTATATCACATACAAATATACATACACATGTATATAATAATATGTAATCTAATAAAACTTGTCCGTTGAAAAATTAATAAGGCTTATTGTACTAAGGCTTAAAAAAAGAAAATATTTATTACTTCCTTCAACGTTAAATATGAAGCACATTTTAAACATCAGTTAAGATTTACCATATAACTGTGTTGGAATCATTTTTTTTTTTTTATATCAATGATATATTTAAGATAAGATAATAAAATAATGGAAATCATAAATTATGTCTTATATAAATAAATTTATAAAAAAAGGAATTAATAATAATAACAGATGCTCCTGTTAAAAAAAAATATACAATATTAAACTTTATATTTTACCTAATTCGTATTATATCCACTTAAATGACGTATGCTAATATGGTTATATTATTATATATGTACACTATTTAAATAGTTATTACATAGATACATTTTAATATAGCTCATCGATGGACAGTAAGCTTTCTGTGTACAACGGCTCGTCATTAAAGAAATCTGTGAGCAACAGTATGTTGATGGAATTTGCAGTGAAATATTTTTTATTGTACCCATTTGATGAAGTTTTATGGCGACCAAGGATACGAGTTACGAATTCGAAATTCATTTATACTTCTCTTACTATTATTCAACAAGTTTTGCCCGCTTTGTTAATCAGTTTTGTGATGAAAGTAATTGGAAAATCACTAAGTGTGTAAGTCTAAAATATTTAAATAAAAACAATATTATATAGAATAAGTTTTCGAAGATCTATTGTTTTTAATTCCTTATTATCAATTAGAATCTAAACCTTTTTGATTGGATACTTCTGGTAGTAATAGTGTATTTTGATCCTGTTAGAATTTTGACTACGTTTAGTTTACGTGTACATTCAGTATAACTAGATTTTTGAGAACAATACATTATCATTGTCATATACACTGAGTGATTCATTTAAAGTTAAGGTTTGATTATTCATTCTCATATTGTTATGATACTCAATGTTAGCCATTATGACCATTTCAATTTATTTATTTACTTTCAACCAAAAAATTAATTACAATTACATGATAACAATGAGTAAATTATTTCATTAAGAATAAATGTTTTCTTAATGAAACCCTAACCTAACCCAACTGAACTAAGCTTGTATTTGGTATACAGAGTTATTATAAATAATAATTCTTACTGCAGTAAGATCATTAAATAGGATACTTATATAATTAAAGATGCGACTTAATTAATTAATATTATACAGTTGACACAAATTTCATGGAAAATATTTGAATAACACATATAACATATACACATTTAGATAAGATCTTATAATTAGATTTATTGATTTTTTAAAATTTCATTAATACATTCTCATCTAGATCATTAACTATTTTGTTTATAGTCTTTTTTATTTGATTTTTATTAACTATATCATTGGTATTATTAGATTGGTTTTCACATAAGCTTTTAATTAGACTCTTCACATTGTTATTTCAATTGTTGAATAAAAAATAATTTTCCCCATGTGATTGGGGAAATGCTTTGAATTTGTTAAAAACGTATTTGAAGGTTTAATATATTTACCTGTACTTCTGTCGATAGCATTTATTGTGTGGTTTTGTATGGATTTAATTAAAATTTGTCTAATGTATAATTTATAGATAGATGATATATTTGTATGGTTGAATAATTCCCCTAAAGTACGTTATTTTTAATATCATTTTTTTGGATTATATGTAATATATTTATGTCTATTCTATTAAAGCCTCCCCGACATGTTATATTGTATATTAGTATTGAATTACATAATGCTATGTATAATACTCTTATAGTTGATTTATTAAGAAATCGAATTTTGTTGAATAAAGCAGTTAAGCTCCTTATTTTATTTTTAATACTTTGTAAATTTTCTAACTATTTTAAATTAAAATCTATTGTTATTCCTAAATGTTTGAATGATAGAACCATTCTAATTGGTGTACAACTTCAATATGTCGTTCAAGTTCCAAAATTATGTATTATAAAGCTGTAACCAAATGGAAGCTCCGAACGAGTTGTAACTATTGGCATGCATACCGATTTATTTATGTAAAGTGATAATAGATTTATTTTTCATCCAGCCATACATGTACCATAAATTTATTTCGACCGTTTGTTTTAATTTTTCCCAATTATCTTTGAAATCAACTAATGCTATATCATCAGCAAACATGAATAATTTTCTTTTTTATAATTTTGAAAATACTGCGTACTCGATAATTATTTATTGCCAATTGGTATAAACTATAAATAGACACATGAACATTTTACAAGAATATTAGATTTTTGAATAAACTTAAGAGAACGCCACACCTGCATGTTTTGTGTCCATTTGATATACGTACAACATAGTAAGTTTGCATTCAGTAGTTCAAATGTAGTGAAGTTAACTTTAATATAAGAAGAAACTGAACTATAATCAAAATTTAAGGAAAGAACATGATCTGTATTTTAGTGATTGGTTTTTTTCCAATATTTTAATTTTTTAGCGAGTTATGGTTTTTTTAATTGTTATATTTTACATACATATAACACGCTTAAAAATTAAAATATCGGAAAAAACAACCAACAAAACACAGATAATATTCTTTCCTTAAAGATTGATCGTAAGGCAGTTTACCTTAATATTAAAGCTAACATCACTACATTTGAATCACTGAACGCAAATTCGCTATGTTGTATGTATGACAGACGGAGACAACACATGGGGGTGTGATGTCCTCTTAACCATCGTTTCAGCAATTCTAGCAATGAAATCATTTTTAGTTGTAATATTTTCTTATCTTTCAGTCCTGATTATTTTAATTTCAAAAGTCCCTATTTAATGTCTTTCCTTAATAATTATAGTTATTTTAAAATCGATAATTTAATACTTAAAACTGAATTCCTATCTGCAAAAAATTTAAAATAATGAACTTCATTAACTTAAATTATTCTAATAAAGAACGGGACAGTGGAATTCATAATTTTTTTTTATTTCTAAAATTGTAATTGAACTTCCTAAAGCTTTTACTGAAATTCTTAAAATTATAAATATTCTTTTAACTTTGCCTGTTACAACTGCTTCCAATGAATGTTTTTTTCCCCCTTTAATTAATTAAAACTTATCTACGCTTGACAATGGGAAATGATCGGCTGAGTGATTTGTTGGTTATAGCTGTTGAAAGTGATATTGCTGCAAAAATCAGTTTAGATGATGCAGTAGATGTATTTTCAAAAATGAAAAATAGAAGATATCCGTTTACAGCTTAGATTAATTTAAGATTAAGTTAGATTAAGTTAACCTTGTTTAGGTAATGTCTATAAAATACAAAATTATATTTTTCAAAAATTTAAGGTGTATAATAATTATAATATATTAAATATGTGTCTTTAGTATAAGTTAAAACGTGTAACCAAAACTCCATATTTCCTCTGGTAGTATGGGCCGGTCAAAAATGTTGCCCGCCTATCAAAAACTGAAATTTCGCCACTGTGAGTAACTCCGTAATCTTTAACATAGCAATTAATATACTATTAACATAATAATTACTGTGATTAGATCCAACGGTAGTTAGTAGTTTTCTGTTACTGAGTAACTAATGAACCATTTGATTGTATTTTCATCAAAGCCTAATTCTTTTAACTTGTTGAGTAATACTTGTCTACTAATTGAGTCGAATGCTTTTTTCCAAATCCAAGAACGTAAGTAGTATTTTTTTTTATCATCCCTTTTGTTATGTATAAAGTTATTTATATCAATTGAAGCATCTCCTGTTCCTAATTTTTTTCTAAATCCATATTGTACATGATATATTATTTTATTTTTCTCCAAGTATTCTAATAGTTGATTTTTAATTATTTTTTCAAGAATTTTACCTTTTTTTCTTTTTTACATTGAACCGATGCATGGAGTGGGACTAACCTTCCGGTCATTTTACCTCCATACACCATCGTTGATTGGATAAAATATTTTATATTTACATAATGAAAACCAATTTACATAGAAAAACAATTTTACAAATACGGGGGCCTCTAACCACCCTGATTTTTGCTATTCAGTATACATCGATTTAACTTAACTAGTGTTGTCTTCGGCGCTATTAGTCTACAGCGGCTTGTCTCCTTTCTTCATTTTCCTTGCTGGTCATGATAGTGAGAACCATGGTATCGATGGTCATACAATTCCTCGTCGATGATAGGTTAGGTTAGGTTATCGATATAGCATGCATGTTATCATATTTTCGGGGCTTAATTTCGTTCTCAGGACTACCTCTGTTTCACTTCTTACTTGGTACCATGCTTCGCAGATAAAAATTGTATGCATCGCGTCGTCAATTGGGTGGCCGCAATACTAACACTCAGGGCTATTTAGTTTTTCAAATCTATGGAGGTATTCTGAGAAGCATCCATGGCTGATCAGAGCCTTCGTTAGATGGAAATTGACAGTCCCGTGCTTCCTTTTGACCCATGCTTCTAATTCTCTGATGAGGGAATAAGTCTATCTGCCTTTGGAACTGTTGTTCTATCTGTTTTGCCAAGTGAGCAGAGTTTCGTCGGTGTGCTGAATTCTTGGGTTTTCTCTATGGTCAAGAATGTTTCTTGCGACACCCATCTTGCGACGCCTATGTGTATAAGTATACTAGAATATATTTCGCAGTTTCAAAGTTGTAATCAAAGTAAAATGAGAACGAATAGTTCCTCAGTGAACAAGTATAGGCATCTTATACTACATTTTTGTTGAAAATAAAGTATTAATCTGTTAAACAGGTACTGTTTATTATGTATGTATTATTCATAGTATTTTGAAACAAGTGCTCATTTTTTAACAAACTTCCATAACAATGACGTATATCTTATTTATTCTTATAATTATCCTATACCAGAAGAAATAATGAATCGATATTTATCTTATTTATCTAAATTTATATTTCGAACACTTTTTCGTATGACACAACATACCTATAAAATATATAAATTAATTATTATTGTACATTATTATTTATTTATTTTATTTACGTGTGTGCTACGACACGTGTAAATGTTCACGTGCTACATGCCATAGCGTCGGATTTCTATTTGCTGTAGCGTACATTCGTCATATTAATTGGCAAGGCTTCGGTCCACGGCATCACACGTTCTCAGCTTCTCCTCGATCGAGCACAATAATCGCTCTCGGACCGTCGTGCCTCAGCCATCGTGGTATAGTTTTCGTACGCAATTTGTTTTGAATTAATTATTTACTTTATAAATATAAATATATCTTACTTGATATCATTTTTATCATCAGTTTTTTAAGAATTAAATATTTCTTCTCAGCCACAGTTAATACATCATATTTTTATAAAATATAATAATCACGTCTTTTCTTTGCACCTCTGTGAAAAAAAATAGCGTGTATTTTTTAATTTAAATGAATTACCGGTACTCACGATTAATGGGTAGTCAAATTAATTTTGTAGGTACATGTTTAATTTAGCATCAGTAATTTCGGTCATAATTGTCTCAATCTTCATATATTTGTTTATGGCTTTTTTCCCGGTTTCTCCAAATAATACTTGTCCATTCGAATGTAAAATTCACTTTTTTGATTAAAATCTTCCATATTATTAAGATTATACAAAATTATTTTAAAGTATGTATCTCAAATGCACGTGCGAGCACAATGCAATCCGTTCACCGACTATATACTTTTGAACATTAACAAAAATCTAATATGATAAATCAAAATCAATAAAATATAATCTGCTTATTTCAGATGACCAGGTAATTTTATTTAATAGATATTATTGTATAATACAATTTGTGGTAAAGGAATTTCGTGCTTAGATCAATAGTTATAAGTTATAACTTATAACACATTTCATATCTATTGATAAAAATTATTATAAGACCATGATAAATATAAAATATATTTTCGGTACACAAAGTGAACGACCAGATTGTGAAAAAAATGACACGATGTTAAATTGGAACGACTGTTTCATAAAAAAGTGACCATATCATGAAATATTTTCGTATTTCACGAAGTGTTAAAAAACCGTTTCCATTTCATGAAATGGTCAATTTCACTAAGTGGCTACGACAGGACTTAAAGTTTGAAAAAAACTGTTATAAATTAAAAAAATTGACAACACCATAAAAATTATAAAATTAATATTTTTAAAATATATTGGTCATTAAATACGTACGTATGTGGTTGTATGTACAGTCAGTAGTTATTTTTTAAGCATTCCTAGAACATTGTTTTAAATTATTTTTTCTAATTGAATGAACACATTGCAGATTTTGAAAGTAACATTGTTCTTATAAAACCGTCCTTGTTTTTTTCTCTACATACCTTTATAGAAGACTTCGTAACCAGCTTTACGATTATTTCTAGGCTTTGACTGTAACATGGAAAATTAATAAACTTGAACTCTGGTATAACTTTTATATTAAGAATTTCCTTAAGACTTCATAAATTTTAAAAATATTCATTTAATATTTTTATTGAAATTGTTAAAATGTTCAGTTCTTACTGTTTTTATTTTCAACCTTTAAACCCGATATGTGAACTGAAGAAATAAACTTTTTTCGGCATTATTGCGATTCTAAAATAAAAATAAATGGTGTTATAAAGGACGATCATGGTTATGTTCATTTTTTTATAATGTTGAGGTGCAAAATTTGCATTTCATCAGAGTACCACTGCCATTTTTTTTAAGTCAAGCACTGTCCATACATGAAAAAAAATTTACACATTTATTATTGGAAAGGAAAAATGTCAAAGAATCACCTTTCATTGTTGTCCTTTCACTCAAAAACTTCTTTAACAGCCAACATCAATACCCTCACTTCCAATTATTATAAACATTATTTTTTATCGATTATGTAATAAAAATAGTAATGATAAAAAAAAAATTAAAATAAAATTAATAAAAAGAAAAAGATTTTTTGGTCAAGTGAACAATTTCAAATTATGTAAGTAATACGCAAGTATAAAAATATTGAAAACCACTGAAATAGAGCATTATGAAATCTAATAAATATACTTTCTAAAGAAAAACATTGCTTTTGAATTTCTTATTTATAATGTTTTATAAAAAGAGTTTTGAACTAACCAAATTTTTTAAAACAATTGTTTTTGATGTTTCAGGGACTTAGTCACCTTGCAACAAAAAATATATTTAGCAACAATAGCGCTGTCGACTTTCACTTTACAGACATGGGTGTTCACGAATGAAAATTTCTTAGGTCTACTTAAACACATACCAGATTCCGAAAAAGAAGATTTTGATTTCAATTTTGAAAACATCAATGCAGAAGAAACGTTCAAAAATGTGGTTATTGGATGCCAAAAATATTTATTAAACACAAATTCTAAAAAAACGATGAATGCAAAAAAAAAGATGCAAAAGTTAGCAAGATAATGAAACACATATTATAATTAAATAATAAACTTACACTATTTGTATATATTTTTCAGATTAATTTGGATGGATCGAATTTTAAGGACTTTATTTTTTGCTTTACTAGCTTGGTGCTTTTTGAAGTTAATTCTCGTTCTTTTTTTTAATATTTAAAATCTACTATATTTTCCTCAATTTGTTTAATTAAGCAAATATAGTAGGATTAATACATAAGCTTTAAATAAAATTTTTTTTTAATAATTTTAAATTCTGCAAATATTTTTTAACAAATAAATTATCGGTGAAACGACATTATATTATATTCTAATATATTATAAATATATAAAAAAAAATAAATATCTGTTTTTTAACAAAATCTTTAACATGTATAGATGTAAATGCAAAAATTACTGTTGTGAATGGGTATTGTATAAAAAAAAATATATAGAAATATAAATTAGTTTTTTTGAAAAAAAAAAATTGTATATTTTTAAGCATATTTAGAATTATTTAATATAACCAGTAATTTGATAAAATAATAGTAATCAAGTTATAGACAACTTTTCTAAAATACTTTTCACGTTTGGTTTTGTTAATTTATCGTATATAAATTTAGTCCTTTAGAACAAAAATAAATTATACATACCTGTAGAACATTAAATATAACAAATATTACCCAAATAGTCAAATAAATTAGCAAGATGGGAAATATTAAATATTTTACTCTATTTAAGTTTAATTTATTTGGCATTTGGTCATATCTAGATCAAATTAAGGTATTTGATTTTTCCTAGTTTAATATAGATTACGCTTCCACTTAAATTTGCCAAATCTTCTATCTATAAAAAAATAATTCACGATCTCCATTGGACATCAGTCGGGCTTTCGATTCTTTTGTTGTTAGATTTATTCTAGCTAATTATCGCCTTAAAGATCTAGACTCTACTGTCTATTTGTTACGTGGGCACTTTCAAGTTTGATCTGAAAACGCAATTTGGTACAGGAAGTTTTCAATTATTAAACTACCTGTATCAAAAGTTATAGTGAAAGCTACAACCATCATATTGCTAATTTAGTATAGCTATATTTGGTGGACAAACACCGTTGAAATATTTTTAAAATAAGCATTTTTAACACTCACGAGCTTATTAGGTTTTTGTTGAAGCAGCTATTTAAAATAATAAAAATATTTCTTGGAAAATAATTATTTTGTTATTCGATTATCAAATTTATGATATAATTTGAACTATTTCAGGCAATATTTTTCTTGGAATTTATTACCACGAAATTATGTTGATATAAATATAAATACTATATTTCAAAGAATTTGATTCAAAATGTGGAATTTGATATGACAAACTTGATACGTCAATGTGACTAAGTACCATGTTAATAAAAAATGCATTACAGCAGACAATAAGAAGCCTATAATTAAACACGAATGTTGGAGACGAAATACATTAATTAAAAAGTTGTTAAGAGGTATACTGCTGAATATTTCAGTGAATAATAATATGTATAATAGTAATATGTACGTTTACGTATTATTTACATTAGTTTACTATGCTTATTATAATCCAAAAAAAAATTGTATAAGAAATCAATATAGAAAACACTGAAAGTTTCGATGGATTTTTCTATTATGATTCATTCGTAGTAGTATAAATATGTAATGATTTTGAGAGCAAAGGACAAACATAGGCATTAAAAATCTCAGCAGATGCCCAAAATAAATATTATTGCAACACATTTTAAACTTTTACGATTGAAAATTGGACAAATATACTGAAAAAATGTTTACAATAAAAGCGTTATTGATTATTAGTGGTTACTAGGTAACCGAACTAGTCTGTGGTGCTAAAGCCTGGTCGCAACTAAGGCCTCGTCAAATTCGCTGATCAAAGAAAATCCATTGAAAGATGTTTTAAATTGTTGTATTATTATTAGTCAATGATTTTCCCAGTTTTATATAAAGTTACATTTAATATAACTTTAACTAACTTTAAAATACTGTAATTATAATTTTTAATTATGGTTAACTGGTGAGCACCCTTGTGTTCACACAATTATGTTAAAGAATCGTGTAGTTTTTTCGTTTTCCGACAAATGTGAAATTATGAAATTCTTGGACGAATATAGTTAGGTAAGATTTATTGTTTGATATATTATTGTGTTATTTATATAATTAACACTATAATCATATAATTATAATTGTTTTATAAGGAGAGCATATTCTATTCCATCAAATAATAGCCGATTATGTAGTTGTCATTTTAAAGATGGTTTAAAAGAGAATGGTCCGTCTACATTTGCTTGGAATGAAAACAAAATAATGTATTATCATATGTTTCCGCCGAAAAACGTAAAAATTAAATTTTATTGTAACATATACTATATCTAATTTAAAAATTCAAGTTTATAGAAAAATTGCTCATCGATCATTTCATTTTACTTTCAAACGTACACTGTATATGTCAGTGTTTTCCAAACTTTCTAAAATATTTCTTTTACCCAGAGCCAGCAGGAAAAAAGGGGGGTAGGGGTAAATACCCACTGACCAGGGCTTTGTAATCATTTTAAGAAAAATACTGTCCTACATTTTACATTTAAATAGTTGGTAACTTTACTCATTATATTTACCTACTCTAATATTTATATTGGCTAATAATAATAATAATATAAATAATAATTCAAATTAACTTATGATTTAGAACCAAAACATTAAGATGTAATGTAGACGAAGAATGTGATAAAACTGCTAAAATTGATCCAATTATTAATGAAGAACCCAATACTGATAGTGCAGATTTAATTTTCGAGAAAAACACAATTCTCTGGAGACACAATTTCTCTGGAGAAAAATTTTGAATGTTATTTTCTGGAAAAGGAAAATGAAGACTCGAAAAAAGAAATTGAGATCTTAAAAAGACATCCATTTGGTCATCATTAAATTTCAAAAAATGATAGTATGTTTCAATATTACACTGGATTAAGTGAAGACATGTTTGATATAATTGTTACACTATGTTCAAATTGGTACTGGTTTAGTTGACGCCCGCTAACCCACGTATTTTCCCGACACTCAGGTTTAGTTAATGTCCGCCACTAATATTTCTTGTATTTTCTATTATACTGCAGATAAAAAAAAGGTACGAAAAACCGCGGTATTATCTTTATATATATATATACGTCAGAAATTCAATTATTAGATATTTTAAAAATAATGTTTGGTAAAATCTTTCAAATAAAATTAATAATATAGACGTAATAACAGTGGTACTGTGCATAATATTATAGAGTACCTACTTTAGTTATGCAGTCGTCGTCATACTGAAATATTCTGAAGTACCTATATCATATATGTAATACCGCAGTACTAAAACTTAACATGCATTTTTGACAAATTTATAGTGAAATGCATGATGATTCATCGGTCATAATTTTTTTATGAAATGCAAATATTATTCATACAACTTGGACTTGTGACAATGGACACGAAATTGTTTTAGATACCGGTGGTGATGTCATTTAAGATCATGTCGAAAAGACAAAGGTGTTAAGATTAATAATTGGTTACAAAGTACAAAGGTAAAGTTACCAACTATTGTTCACTTTATTTATGGTTGGACTCATGAACTTACATCAGTGACTTTTGTAAACGTGAATTTGGACTGAGCAAAGCTACTGTAGTAGATTGGAACAATTATAATAGAGAAGTATGTGTATGGAAAATGTCTTGCGGCGATTCAAAAATAGGAGGTGCTGGTTGCATTGTTGAAATTGACGAAAGTTTGTCAGACGTAAAAATAATGCAGGTCAAATACTGCCGCAGCAATGGATTTTTAGTGGCATATGTCGTGAGAACAAGGAGTGCTTCGTCGTATGTATTTATGTAACTGATCAGTCGAAAAATACGTTATTGCCAATAATTTATGAACGTATACGAGTTGGATCGACTATTTTATCAGTTACCTGGTGAGCCTATAATAATATCCAAAAAATTGGAGATTATAATCACACAACAGTAAACCACAAATATAATTTTGTGGACCCTATAAGTGGAGTTCATACCATAATGTTGAGAGGATGTAGGGAAGTGCTAAATGGAAAACAACAAGCAAAGAGGGACTAAGAGAAACTTGCTTGATTCATATTCGACAGAATTTATGTGGCGCACTAAATTAAACAAATTAAACGGACGTGATCCGTTTGAGGAAATACTGAAAGATGTATCCGAATTTTAGCCACCTGCATAAGTTTATTTATTTTTAATTTTAACGTTTATAATATTATTCATGAATAAAATATTTAATATAATTGTTCGTACTTTTTTATTTTTTGTTATTATTATTATTTTTAAATACCTAGTAATGGGAGAATATGCGAGTTGACGGTCATTAACTAAACCAGTACCTTCAAATGTTACATTTAATTATTTCTTAGGTTGAAATGTCGCTTGCTTTTCATTAAAATATCAAATACTTATAACTCTAATGAAATTAAAATTAAACTTAGGCCATAAATACTTAGCTTTTAGATTTAATACCAGTTCATCAACTGTAACTAATGTTACTATGACGTTTATAATTTTATTACGTGATATATTATTCAAGTATCTCATGGATAATGTTCCATCTCAACTTAAAAATCAACTTTGTTTACCTAATTATTTTTAAAGTTTCCAAAATTGTCGTATGATTATTAACTGCACTGAGGTATCGTGTGATATACCTAAACAATTAGATCAACAAAAGTTGACTTACAGTAATTACAAACATAGATATACTCTTAAAGGATTAAGTGGTATAACACCTAATGGCGTCATAACTTTTGTGAATAAACTTTATCCGGGATCTATTTCAGATAAAAATATTGTAGCTGATTGTGGATTTTTAAATATATTTAAACCAAGTGATCTGATTCTTGCAGATTAAAGGCTTCCTTATTTCTCATCTTCTTTCTAGTGGAGTTAACTTGAATATTCCACCTTTTTTAGCGTCACCTCAATTTACCTCGAGTGAAGTTGTAAAAACCAAAAATATTGCAAGAGCTAGGATTCACATGAAATGTCCAATACAAAGATTATAAGAGTACCATATTTTGTCCCCTATCCTAAATATTTTTATGTAAAAGCTTCAATTGTTTTTCAATTATGTGCAATTTTAGAAATCCTTTAATAAAATAAATAGACTACATACATATTTCTAATGATTAATTTCTGTTATAATGTAATAATTAAAATAGGTATATATAATAAAACAATTTCCACAACATAGTTTAGTGTGAATTTTAACACTAAACAGTAAATAAATAAGTAAAATTTAATTTTTATTGTGATAAATAATCAATAATTTAAACGCTCTACTGAACATATAATAAAATGTATACCAGTTAAATATAATTATTTATTATATGCTATACCTAACTTTCGACCAAGCATGCCAAATATTAAGTATCTATCAACTGGGCCAAAAATATCGAACATAATACTATGTAAATCGCAATTGAAGAAAAAATGAATCCACGCGGCGTTTGACATGCCTGGTTTAGGTCATAAGTTTTAAATATAAAAGTGAATTTATCTACATAAATATTGGTTAAATATATATTTCAATATGCATATAAAACTAACAGATCAATTAAAAAAATAAAAAAACGATTTAAAAGGATTAAAAAACTGAATGAATCAAAAAAAAATAAATGGGCAGTGCTTTTCTTATAAAATTAACCATGATAATGGTTTGTTTGGAACCAGACGCGTTATCGTTATAGATTATGACGTAACGGCTAATCTCTATTAAATGTTATCAAGGGAAAAATATATGAAATATATATAAATAAATATATCAAATACATGAAAAAAAAGCGATAAACTTGTAGTTTTCTTTCCTTAACTCGATAATAATAATTTTATCATTTCAATATTATCGTGAATATTACAGCGCGACCGTGAACGTTTTCGACTAGATGATGTTTGCATTTCAAATTTAAATCTAAATACTTTTAAATCTTTTAAATCTAAATACAATTTAATTAAATGTAAAAATAAAAGAACATTTCTTATAGGTATTAATAATCTATAAATATTGAACAAATAAATAATGATACTATAAGTAATAATTCAAAGCGACATTAAGGTGAAAAAATTTAGTTAATATTATAATATTAATAATTATTTATATTATTATTCCTAGAAAAAAGGAATCTGTCAGATCAGTACGTGTATGAACAGAACGGAAACGTTCAAATGTGAATTATTTAAATTAAAACACATAATAAAATATTTTACGGAACGGATGGTACGGTATCTGTCGATAGTATGAAAAATTTTTAATAATTGTAATTTGAGAGCACAAATTATTTTTCTATGCAAAGTAAAAATGTAGGCTTATGGCCACTATGGCACTTGAAGTCGTTGTATTTTTATTTGACCTGAGTAAAATTTAAGAAGTTCAGCACTACTGTGCCTCAATGAAAGTTTGTTCATATTTATAAAATAATATGTTTCCCCTTATGGTATAAGAAAATTATTATACATAAGATACACATAGGAAATAATATTGAAAATTTTAGGAACATTTTACAATAAAAATAATACTTTTTTAATTCATCCGAAAGAAATAGAACTTTTTGGAAATTTTGGGAAAATGTATATGTCACGTTTTGGATGATCAGTACAAACATCTAATGAAATACTTTACTAACACATATTACAAAGAAAAAATTTACTTTAAAACTAGCATTTTAATTATATTTTAAATAAAATGTACATATGGATAATATTAATAATTATAATTTAATCACGTTCCATATTAAATATTCATAGGTATTTATTATACTCAAATACTCAAATTTCTACATATATTTATTTTGTTTAAATAAAATAATCAATATTTACTATTAGATGATTAACATTAAAGTAATTAAATTAAGAATTCATAATGTAATAATTATTAATTATATGATACATGTTAAACATTTTAAAGATAGTAAATTATGACATTTTTTAAGTTTTTTTATATTAATAAACCTAATAATATTTTCTGAAAAGACTCAAATCTGGAAATTCCTTGAACTAAGTATTTTATTTGGCGTAGTTGAATATTTAATTTTTAATTTTTATTGATTTTTATTTATTAATTTATGTATATTTACCTACAATGCCTTGTAACATGAAGTTACTTATATTTTTTAATATTATACCATATAACTACGATGATTATATTGTTAACAAGGAAGTTACTTAAAAATTAAAGAAATAAATTGTTAAGTTTACGTATTCATTACGATTTGATGATTTAAATGAAGTGAAGACAAATTTTTTAAATTTTGAGTAGGTTTAACGAAGAAAAGTCACTTGGTTTTTTTTTAATGGACTTTTTCTTACCAACCCTTCTTTGTGTTATATTATAATGAAGGATGACATGATTAAAGATGAACATTAAAATGAAGTTCTAGAGGGAAAGATCCCTTATTTTTTGTTATTATGATTAATCAATGATATTAACAAAAATAACGTAAAACCACTTATATTTTTATGATTATATTACTCGTCCCAATATTATATTATTCACTATTATTTGGTATATTTATTTTTCTATTAATCTAATTAAACACTTTTTTTCCTCAATTTTATGACTTACGTGTGCAAAATAAAAAATTTTGGATCTTAAAAATGTTAATATTTTTAAACTAAGTTCAGCTTATATGGTTTAATCACAACGTATCCAAAATAAGTAGAATCCACTGTATTTGTAAAGTACGACCAATTTAAAATTAAAAATTCATCATCAGATATGTATGAGTACAAATTCAATAAAATTGTGACTGAGTATGAACAAATTCAGGGAAATATGTATTAAGAAAAATTGATCATTTTACATAGAGATAATTCATTTTAATAAGAGAGATTATGTAAAATGAGTTCTTATTAGACCTTGAAATCTTCGAAACTATAAATACGTTAGTTATTATTATTTATTAATATCTAAAATGTATTGATATAAGATATTATTTTTAAAATGTGTTGGTATATTTAAAATATTATTAAAATTATTTTTCTTTATTTTATTATGTATGTGTAACTCTTCTAAAACTGAATTATGTAAATTAACGTATAATTATGTTAAGAAATTTTATTATGGACAGTATTTTTTAGTTTTATTCCAGAAATGTGTTTTATATATCTTATTTTAAAATTGATTTTTGTCTTGTCTATATAAAATGTAATACAATTACATTTAAGTTTATTTTAATCGCTTTTAAGATAATAATAATTTAATCAAACATACAAATAATAAAACTAAAAACTTCACAAAAATCTCCGTTCTTTTAAAAAATTCATGTATATATATAAATTTAAATTATTGATTGCTTTATTATTCATTTTTAATTAATATGATAAGAATATATTTTGTATCATGTTCGTAAACAATACTGTAACAATTAAATCCATTTGACACCAGCCGGTACGATTCACATTAGAAGAAACATTTGTTGCCCTGCATTTTAATTAAGGAAACCTAATGTTCGACACAATAGATTGTTGAAAAATTACATTGTGCCCGAGTAGTTATAATATTGATACCGCATTACCATTATTGCACTGCTTTCAGACAGTAATAGTTTGAAGAAACTATTTTGTTGACGCTGCTGTTGTTCGATACAATAAAGGTAATATAAGTTTATTAATAATTATTTAAAAATATAACTACAAAATTGTTTTTAATAATAACACTTTATAATACTATGTTTTTAAATATTAATTAATATTTTGTACCAGAAATTTTTTTTTTTTAAATCTTAATTCTAAAAATCTCGTCGTATAATTTATTTCTTTGCTAAAAGCTCATGAGTATAATAACTTTTTATAATTCCATATTTTTATAAGATTAACTATGATTCTATTTAAATACTTTACCTACAATGTTATGAATCTAGTTTTGAAAAAAATGTATTCTTTAAACTACGAATTGATGACTGGAGTTCCACACAGTTTATAAAAACATAATCTCATTGTATATTCTTCAAAAGTTTCCATATAATTTTCATACAAAATAAATTATCATAAGCTAAATATTAAAATGCAATATCTACGAGCATTATTATTGAATAATTGACTAACCACTTGCAAAGGTAATATTTTCAGAATAATTAAAAACGTATTAGAATTTTTAATTCACGCCGTTGCGTATAGCTTAGTTGTAATTAAGATAACTATTTTTACTTTTCCATAGATTTATTGAAATGTTAAATTTTCAGTTTAGAAAATGAGTACCATAGTGGAGTTCTTTAAGGGACGAAATGTCTTTGTAACCGGTGCAACAGGATTTATGGGCAAAGTTTTAATTGAAAAACTAGTACGGTCATGTCCAGACATTGGTAAAATTTGCATATTGGTGAGACAAAAAAAAGGAAAGGATACAGATGCAAGAATTAAAGAAATCTTGAACGCTAAAGTATGATTTAATTAATATAAGTGTACTAACGTTGTTTTTTAAATATAATATTAGTATACTCTTATGTACATATTATTCATATGCACGCGCGCTTGTGTATGCGTGTGTGTGGGTGTATTAGTTTTATATGTAATTGTATATTAAAAATAACATTAATTTAATATTTTTTTAATTATATTGAAATACAATATAAATACATATTACAATTTAAATTTTAAAACTATTTAGAAACAATGAGGGTAACAGGCGTAATGATATATTGTTGTGTCAATGTTGATAGAGATATTAAAAAAAAGTTGGAAAAATAGTTAACCAACCTGGAAAATTAAAAATTTTTATTTTTAACCTATAATCTGTATAAAAAATAGCAAGGATGGATTTTACCCAATTATATTTTATAAGATTATGATAATAGGTATGAAAATAAATATATGGACCAATTGCACCTAAAAAAAGAGTTTTTGTTGAGAGTCGATGTACTAATTGCGCTCCATATAATTATGATCAATATACCAATTGCGCTATTCAAATTTGCTTACCTTTAATTATGAAAATGTTGTTAATAAAGTTGATTTATTATTTAAAAAAAGTTTAAATGTGAATTATAATGTAACTCTTATAACTTTAAATTTTAATTAATTCATTTATATTATATCATGTATTAATAGTCGCATAAAATAATTAGTTAGTGTATTATTTATTTTTATTACACTTATAATTATAACTTAATTTTGAATAATTGACGATCAAAAAGTAACTTGTTAAAAGTGAAGAAATAAATTATTTATTTATATTATATTAAGTATATATAATCGAACAAAAATCGGTTAATATATTCATTTATAACTAACTAGGTAATAAGTTTTCCTTGGGTATATTAAGAAATTTTGAACGAAATTGAACAATCGACTCTAAAGTGTTTAGAGCACAATTGTTATATCAATCTAAAATGTTTAGAGTGCATTTGGTATATGAAAAGGTCATTTTAAATGCAATTGGTAAAATGACGAAAATAATACTTCTAAATAAATATTCAAGTATCAACTAAATAAAACTTAAATAACAATAAAATAGTAATAGAATTCGAAAACAGTCAATAAAATAACAAAAAATATTGAATTTATGATTATAATTATATTTATTTAAAATTTAAATAAATGAAAATTCGTTTATTGTTTTTAATACTACTTACTCAATTCTCACGAAACCTTCAAAATGTATTCATTTAGAAAAATTATTAGTATTTGTAAAAATTGTTTATATTTTAATTTTATTTTTGATAACATATTCCTACATTTAATTTTCTTTAATACCTACTAGTGTGAATACACTTCATACTTGAATTACCCATATAATTTAACCTGACCATTGAGGTTAATTTGTTAATTATTTATTTATATTTTAATAAATAAAATAAATACTAAAGGATTATCAAAATAAAATATGTTATGAAAACAAATATGTTATTGAAAAAATATCAACTAATATTTAAAAAAAAACTTGTAAAATTTAAAATATATAGTTATTAGATGACTGAACATTTTCTTCTAAATTCGTATTTTATATTACTTAATCCGTCGTATAAACGTATTTTTGATTTGTACAGTTTTATTAAAAAACGTCTGACCTATATATTTTTGCTGGTTCCATATTTTTATTTTTCAACAATCAAACTTCATCAGCAAAATATTTAAATATACTATAGTACTTGCTCAATTTGTTGATTTTTTTCGCTTGAAAATGTAGAGATATATGTCGATTACAAACAACAATTTTTTCATTAATACTCAATCAATCCTTAGAGCTAGATTTTGAAGTAGATTTATGCTTCTGTCAGTAATAATTTACTTCATTACACATATATTTTACAAACAATCGTTTTTTTTTTTTTGCTTAAATATTTTATTGGCTTTTCATTATTAGAGTAGCCAGCTACTATTAGCTTTAAGTTATTCGAATGATTTATTTCAATCGATATCAGTCGACATGGTCAATAAACCGTATATAACCGTAATATAACGCATTGTTTAATTTTAAAAACAACCTTTGGGAATTGGAAATGACAGGCTTAAATTTAATACACGCTCGAAAAATAAATTAAATAATACCATAAATATATAAAAGGGTAGAACGCAATGCGGTTACCCTATTGTGGCTTTTCTAGTTGCTTCGAGGAGGTGCCGACTATCCTTATCACGTCAATTGTATTGATTTTAAAAATCAATTTTTTTTTTATTATCTACGACTCATTTTTCCTTATTTAAATGACTAAATTAACACTATAAACTTTAATTTTTATGGTAATATAAATACTTTTAATAAATATGCTAACAACTATTATCATTGATAAGCATAACATAGTGACTCGAGTGCCTCACTGAAGAAAATCTGATATTATCTAACATTAAATAACTCATTTGTAACGTTTTCAATTGTGATACCCAATTTAAACCATATTGTATTTAATAGTTAGAATCAATATTAGCTTACAGTTTTGATACTTTATTTACTTGATAATTATATTAATTTAAATTTGATTACATCGATATCGATCATTGAATAACTGCTACCACTCTTCCCGCCTATCATACAGTTTTACCTTCATAAAATTACAAATCAAAAATTACTACTTGTTGTTAATATTATGACACGTCTTAACATAAATAATACACTCTGGACGATTTCAAATTATATCTTCATCGGTTTAACTTAAATTTATTGTAAACTAATTCTTGTAAGAAGATAAATAACCTACTGATTGTACCAAATATAATTTAAACATTTATTTCGTTTCATTGTTTAAGCACTACTATTATATTATTTGTAATAACCCGAAAATACTAAAGTAAAAAATAAAACGAAAATAATTATAAATGTGGGGAGATATGGTGTATAGTATTATATGTATAATGTATGTGATTGATTATCTTCCTCCTTGTTTAAGGGAGGACTCTCGGGGTCGCAAAGGTCCGAGAGCCAAACAACGCAACTACATAGTATGGCAAGCCAAATAAAATAGCACTTACTTATATTGTAGCAATTATTCAAATGTCGACGAGATGTGCACTAACTACTATTGCAGGAGTGCAATGAGCTTGTAATATGACAAACACAGGATTTTGTGGAACACTTTTCAACATACGCGCAGAAAATCAAACAAATTAATTATTAAAGTTAAATATTCGTACACAGTGGTCACTTGTCACAGAAGATTATTTTACTAATCTGACGGTCCGTGCGCACGCACTGACGACCTAAGAGCAAGAGCCTCGGAAAAGGGTATTATGTTATATAGGGGTATGGCCGGATGTATCTTGGATTGATCGTTTCAAGATGTGACCTACTTATGATGTCAGTGGAGTATTGTAGGGTTAGGCCTTTATTGTTTGATCTGTGTTGTCCGTGCGGGTATCAAAAGAACCATCATTTATTATTTTTTAAAATGGTTTAAGATCATATGGTATACATTATTATAAAAGATTTGTGCAATATTTTACAATCGAATGATGCACATCATTACATATTTGAACATTAAAATGTGTAAATACAGGTATAATATTTTTGTATATGTTACAGTTAAAGTCCGAAACATGGCTAAGGTGCACATTATTCGGAAATAGTGCACTCTAACAACACCGGTTGGATAAAGTAAACAATTAACATTTAAAATCATAGTGTTGTACATATTACCCGGTTAAAGCAACTTAAGCCATAATGTTATGGCTAATGTAAAATATTATCAATAAATTCATAATTATATTTTATTTCAATTAAAATAATTAATATAAGCATTCATAGTATAATATCAAATATTGTAATATATAATCAATGATATAAGTTAACAATTAAATAATAATAAATTCAGTATTGTGCGTGTAAATCAAATTGCAAAACAAATAAATGTAAATGCAAAGCATTGAGTGTTCTATGCAATTCAAAATGTCATTAAAGTTTACCGTGTTAAATAAATAATAAATAAAAAAACATTATTTAATAAATAGTATTAATAATATCTGATAAAAATAAATTTAATATTGCATCAAATGTAGTTAATTAATATTTAATATTTAACTTATATGCCATAACACGATGACTTTAGTTGCTTTAACCGGGTAATGTGTACAAAACTATGATTTTAAATGTTATTTGTTTACTTTAGCCATGTTTCGGACTTTATCCGTAACATATACATAACTGTTAATAATTTCTATCACACAAAACAAATCAATAAGAATATAATATCGAGAAAAATCAATACGTTTTTGTGTTAGTTTTTTTTTTTTTTTTTGCAGTACTTTATTTTTAATTTTTTTTATTAATGAACTTTAATCGCTAACTCAATTAAAAGTTGTATATTTAATTTATTTGTTCGCAGTTATTTGATACGATAAAAGAACAGAGACCTGGATTGATGGAAGAAAAACTATTTCCCATATTAGGCGACATGACTGAATTACGGCTCGGATTATCGGATATTGATTATAATTTTTTAGTTGAAAATGTATCGGTCGTGTTTCATGTTGCTGCTAGTGTCCGGTTTGACGAACCAATAAGAGACGCAACTTTAATGAATGTAAGGGGAACGCGTGAAGTTGTACAGTTGTCTAAGCAAATGAAAAACTTAAAAGTAAGTGCGGAAATGTGGAAATACGTTTTTAAGAGTTAGTATAATGGTACAGAAGTATTTAGGACATCTATATGTTTTTCAATGAAACGAAAATAGCCGTAATAAATAAAATTTGCCGTAAATAGCTACTACATATAGAAAGGAAATTTTTTTTTAGATATTATAGTTCCTATTATAGAGTAATTCAAGAGCGTATTTAAGGAGGACAAAGGGGGAAATCACCCCCTCTGAATCCGTATTTAAGGAATCGATTATACGAGTATGCGAGATACACATTTCAATTTTTTTTAATGTGGATCATTTTATAACGAAATCAAATTACGCGTGGCTGTGACTACTGGATAGGACTTTTTGTCGGGTCCATACTTAGTGAAAAATCAAATAAAACACAATTGTCACTTTCAAAACACAGATAGGTTTTAAAAAATAACTACATAAAAGTTGATTCTAAGTGGATCCGACATTAGATTAAAAAAATACCACAAATATTAAGAATTCACCTGATTTAAATATTACCAAAATTTGACTTATAAATTTGTAAATTTTGAGCCTGAATTAAAGAAACAATTTGAGTCAACCCCCCCCCCCCCCCCTAGAAATAAGTCTAAATATTCCCCTGGATTAATTATGGTTTTAAATATGAGCTTGAAAAGTTTTAAAATATAATTATACAACTAATTTTTATAAACTTTGCTGATATAACTATCTAATAATTTAACGTCTATGAACAATTTAGAATCTTACTATTCAAAATGGCATCTGACGAACAAAATAATACAATTTTGTTCAAGTTTATTTATAACAATTTACCTTAAGTTCAATTTCAAATAGGTATAAATTATATCTGGAAAAAAAAACATACAATATACATGAATATTTTAATAACAATTATATTTAACTTTTTTTTTTTTTTTTTGACAACAAATCATTGATTTTTTGGGATTAATAAAAATTAAAAAAAAAAAAAAAATTACTTTACTTTAAAATACTAACTGCTATATAATTTTTTAGGTATTTCTACACGTATCAACTGCCTATTGTAATTGTATAAGAGAACATATCGAAGAAAAAATTTATGAAGCTCCTTTTGGATGGAGAGAAGCGATTTCGATTGCAGAAAATATTGACTCCACTATGAGCAGTATTTTAACAAAAAAGTAAAATTTAAAAAATAATAATATTTACTTTAATAAATAGTTTTCATGAAAACTAATTAGTTTTCTTTTAATAGATGTATGTCTAAAATTTCAATAATAACTTTTAAAAGCTGAGAGTGTAAAATTGTAAAATACTAATTTTTATAGTTCATGATTTTTTCGGTTTTATATTTTCAATAGTTTAAAAAATAATAAAAAATCAAAAACTCATTATTTTTAGTCAATAAAACCGTATTTTGTTATTTTATATATTGTATAATTAAATAATTCATAGTGCAGAATTAATGATTATTATTTGATTCTATAGTGCATTCATTCTATTTAAATACATTTATTTCTATTATAGGTTATTAGGAAAATATCCAAATACTTACACACTGACAAAATTACTAGCCGAACAAATAATTAACGAAGAAGCGAAAAATATGCCGATGGTAATATTCAGACCAACAATTGGTGAGTTATAAATATATTTTTATTTAATTTTAATTCAAATAGAATATTGTTCTATTTTACGAATAAGTACAAAATACAATTTAAAATATATTTGCTACGACACATAATTATAATAATAATCAAATAAATAGGTTTTAGTTAATGTTTGCTTTGCATGTCTACCGACGTAAGCCACTATTAGTATTATTATTACAACTGTCATGTTACCTATATAAAATCATATTTGAAAAATTATAAAGAGCTCTACAATTTTTAATTTGTATTGAGTAGGTATTAAAACTTGAAACTCTAAATATTCATATGATACTATTGCTGATTTAAATATTTGTTATAAACACCTATAGACGTTTTATACTAATACTGAAAATGAAATCGCAAACAGAACACACTTTAGTCAGAACACCGTGTGTTAGTCATTTTAAGAAAGATAAATATAATATTATACTTTATAAAATTACATGAAAATTAATATTTTAATTTTAAAAGATTATTAAATAAAAAATGGATTGTGTTATATATGTATTTAGAACATCATAAAAAGACCAATTAAACAACAAGAAGGTGTCCACAATAAAAAAATGAATGTTCTAAAATTTACTCTTGGTTAAGGTTAAATAAGGAACCATTATAATACAAGTTTTCTTGTAATGTAAATTATTTGGATTTATATGTATCTTATGTATAAAAAACATTACGTGTTCGACGGTCTATGTCAGATGGACTCCAAAACTACTTAATCGATTTTGATGAAATTTGGTACAGAAATAGATTAGACATTGGAAAAGGACCTTTTGTCGTGAAAAAAGGAAAGGGATGTATCAGTAAACCTGATAAGGCCCGAATGGGCAGTTGTTTTTTTGTTGTTTACTACTACTCTAACAAGAGAAGCACGGTGCAAACGTGTTGAAAAAGAACGTCAATCGGCCGATTAAATCTAGACAAGAAACACAGCTCAGAATCAACATAAAAGAGATTTGTGCACAAGCAAGGCCGTATCTGGGGGATCCAGGATTTCTGGACCTCCCCCCCCCCCGAAATTTCTTCAATATTTTACGAATGTTTAAAATAATTATTTATTTTAATACCAACATAAATATTTTCAGTCAAAATAGACTTAAGATCCGACTAACCATTGACTGTTTTTAGTTTTATATCATAATGTCATATGAAAATATGATATTAATTTTAATAAAAGAAGATTAAATCTTTTTCTGTCTTATTTTTAACCAAATATTAAAAGTTAAAATCAAAATTCAATAAAATTACAATATACATGTTTTGGACCCCTACCGAAAAAAATTTCTAGATACGGCCTTGTGCACAAATATCTCGAGAACAAACAAATGATAAATTAAATTTTTAAAAATTATTAAATATTAACCTGAGCGAAGTTGGGTAAATCAGCTAGTATATATACGATATGTATGTGTGTATGTGTGTGTAATTCGATGTAACGTTAGTATAATTTATTGGTAGAGGGTCATTCGTGTACAAATATTTGTATTTTAATACTGCTATATTACATATGTATATTCAAATTAGACAGGTGTGCAGTAATAAATACGCATAATATATGTTTAGTTATGAAATCAGTAGGTGACTTAACAGTTAAACACATTTTATTTCGTGGGTAAATGATATCGACAACATAATCAAACGTGTTTATTGCATTAATTCATAATGACAGAGCCGATTGTCGACTAAAATGTTCTATAGTGGCGTAATAACAATGATAAATTCCCAGGAGAAAAATTGTCTTAATAGTCTAAGTGCGTACATTTTATTCGTTGACAAAATCATTTCAGCTCCTTAATAAAAATAAAATAAACAGCATTTTCAATTCATCACTCAATCATTACGACGATTTTTTACTTTAAATATTGTAATTTTAGCACAAATATGACTCGAGTTAGGAAAACTATGCACAAAAATTCTTTAGTAAAGACATAAAAAAAGTAACGAATAATGCTATAAAATAATTATCTTTAAACATGAAAATGTTAAAGTTAAACTAAAAATTATTTTTATTACCAAAATATAACCTTCTTGTGAATACATTTTCATACATTTAAACAAATTCATTCTTAAAACTCCTAAACACATAAATACAATTTTTTTTTATTAAATTGTAAGTATCTGTTGATTTTATTATTTCATATTTAAATCCTCAATTTATCGCCACTCAGATTATATATAAAAATGTATTTTTGAAATAATTTTTAACAATATTTACGGACTAGCTGAATTACCCGTCATTGCCGGGTTTAAGTATATAAATGTATGTAACCTGCCTAGATTAAATTTTGTTAAATCTATTGAAATTTAAATTAGTTAAGATTTTTGAAATAATATTTTATACATATTAATTTAGTTTTTAATATAATGATTATTATCATAACCTATTCGATAAGTTATAGCTTACAACTACCTGAACCTCTCTACAGTTTGGTATTCTGTTGAATACATATAGCATCTCACTTCTCCGAATATTTTACCTTTTGTCAATAAGTTCATGGTCTTTTTAACTTTTAACCGAAACACTCTTGCAATTATATCATGTCGATCATATGATCTTTGACCGGGAAGTAAGAGCTCTTTTATCTCGTCCCAGCGAGGATTACATGTAAAAGTAATAAAAAGGTCAGGACGACCGTAATGTCTAACGTAGGTCATAGCATTTTGTGTTCTTTCGTGCATGTACCTTGGCCCACCAGTAAAAGTTGACGAGAGTATAACCACTTGGCCTCGATTGGCCTTTGACCACTGATTAGCTTCTATGTCTCGTCGTCCAATCGCATCTTTTAAATGAATATAACTATCTGCACGCAATTTGGCTTGGTTGTTTTTGATGTAATTTAGTCTTTCAGTTTCAATTTTGGCGTATTCATCTACCAAATATTGACTGAAAAGCGAACGATAATTAACTAAATAGTTGTCTTTCCCTTCTCTGACCATTATTCTATATGAGTAAAAACTTGATGCAGAGACAGTTTTTTTAAGCGGTAACTTGGTTTTTGGATCGCATTGTGGTATATTGATTGCATACCCATCATCCCCCCAACAAAACATTAAAGGATGCTGCAGTGCTTCGTATGCACTGATACGGTGAAGTGAGTTACTTCGGTTTTCGAGGATGATGTCTTTTCGATCAAACTGCTGATCTACTAACACTAAAGCAACTTAATTTGCCGTTGGTGCATTATACCTGCCTCTATGTTCTTCTGGTGGTTTTTTATTTGCATGTATTACAACTTTAAATGACTCTGGAGAAGGTATTTTATCGATGGTAAATTGTAATGATCAATTTTAAATTATGCGGTGGCATGCCTAGTAAATCCAATGAGTTTAAAAACTCTGTTGGATAATTTAAAACTTCAGTAGCATCGCAAACTGTATCTAGATTTGTATGACACCAAGTTTTCTGGTAACAAATTTTGTATCTTGAGATTCAATTCGTTGACCTCCACATTTTTTGCTACTAAAATTGCTCTTTCTGCCAGTCACTCATGATTTGTGTATTGTCTGTGTACACTGGGACATATCTGGTCAATGAGAGCATCTTGCGAATAAATGATTGTGCAGAAATCGTTCGGTAATTTTATACATCCCGTTTCATCTGTAGTAACTTTCCCATCTCCAATATCTAACAATTGTTTTGAGAATCTTTTGCACGCAGCTTCTTTTGATTGAATCGAAATCGAAGTATCTAAATCGTTCGCTATCTATCTTTATATATATTTCGACCATGAATTGTTGATAAAGCTTATGCATCGTAAAATAACTTAGTCCTGATCGCGTCTAATCATCAATCGATATGCATAATAATTTTTTAAACTAACATTCTTATTTGTTTTGGCACCTGTTGCGGGATCTTTTTGTTTAATATTTATGTAATACCCGTCATTTACTACCAAAAATAAAATTAATTGTTTTTAAATAGTTTTTAATAGTTTTTTAATAATTTTTTAATAGTTTTATTTAATATAATTCATTTTCAATAGCGCAGTTATTGACCTGGTCAAAAAATATTAAACCGATTTCAACCCTTTAAATTCAAAATTTCGAAAAATCCTTTCTTAGCGCACGTCTACATCATAATAGCTATCTGTATGCCAAATTTCAGCCAGATCCGTCCAATGGTTTGAGCTGTGCGTCGATAGCAGTCAATCAGCTTACTGTTTTATATATACAGAAGAAGAGATAATATTTCACTATGTACTTGCATTTCTTTTATCTATAATAACTTTATGAAGAGATCATTTTACTATAATTAGATAAATGTATGGTGTACCCAAATTTGCTAAAAATGTCTAATATGTATATAGTTATTAAAACTACATACAAAAGAAAATATATTATCATAAAATCATAAAAAAATGGAAAAAATAAAATTGCAGCATAATCTTTTTTTATATGAATTCTATGAACTTTATAGTCTGAAGTATGAATTGAATTGTATTCTTAATTAGCCCTATCCTGAAGTAGATACTATAAAAAAGTTAAAATACTATAAATTTCTAGCCCTAGATATGAACAATGAATTTACTTCGAAACATATTTGATGTAAAATAACTTCATAAAATATATTAAACCAATGACCACTATGAATCGCTTTTTCAAGGTGATAATGCTTGTACCCACCATAGGAAACAACAGATGGTTACTAGTTGCGTTCCACGGTAACAATTTTTCCGAATTGCGACCCGAGTACATATTAATTTACCGTTTTTTTAGTATAAAATTATTAATTCTAAACTTCATTTTTCTTCTCACTTTTTTATGAACTTAGGACTAACAGTAGCATCAGTACTACAGGCAGGTTTTTATTTAATTAAATATATGCTATATGATTTACGAGTGTTTTTAGTACAGAAAAATAAAAAAAGTGACGAAATGTTCTTGGCGGTAGTAAAGCGAAAAAGGTATTAAGTGCATTTTAGTACTAAAATTATACTGTCATTATATTTTATCATTCAAGATTGAAAACCTTCTTGAAATAATAAAAATCAGCATGTTGTATTCAGAGGCAGAATTAGGAATTTTTATGCCAGAGGTAAATGTTTAAATTACGCCCTATATAGGGACGTATTTAAACTTACTTCTAGGGGGGGGGGGGACTCAAATGTTTTCTTTAATTCAGCCTCAAAATTTACAAGTAAAATTTTTGGTAATATTTATATCAGGTGAGTCCTTAATATTTGTGGTTTTTTTTTTTTTAATCTAATGCCGGATCCACTTAGAATGATCTTTTGTGTAGTTCTTTTTTAACACTTATCTGTGTTTTGAAAATTTCGCTTGTGTTTTATCTAATTTTTCACTAAGTATGGACTGGATCTTTAATCAAAATAATATATAATATTTATCGTTATGGGACATATTAACATTATAAGCAATTGAGCGTTTAACGCTAAAAATAATTTTAACGTTATTTAATTTAAGCGTTTAAACATTATAAAAATGTAAACGTTTAAAAAATTTTCCATTTACCGTTATTGACAATTAAAACGTTATGAAAAATTTAGCATTTTGCATTATTTAAATTAGTGTGAAATTTGAAACGTTTTCAAATGTAGTAATACTATAAAATAAATTATAATTTTTGTTTCTTAATAAAATACCCATTACTTATATAAAAATTGTCTTAGTCTAAAAATTCTCGGGGGAGCAATTGCCCCCATCGCCCCCCCTCAAATACGCCACTGGCCCTATCATAGACCAAGAATAAAATACCCTTCTCAACAATTTTTTTCTAAGAATAATCACACCTACATACTTATTGATTTTTAAACAGATTATCAGTCAAGAAATTAAAAGTATCAAACTAGTAGTCAATAATAGATTATATACTACAAAAATTACAACCTCCGCTACATGGTGTACCGCTACTGGTTATAATGTTATAAACAGTGCCGTCCCGAGGGCAGGGCGAACGGGGCACTTGCCCAGGGCCTCGCGCCTCCAAGGGCCTCGTGTTTATACAATAATATATATACAACATACAACATACCATGTATAAATAGATTATAGATATATGGATCGAGGACCGCTATTCTGGTGTACTTGGTTTTCGATATAATATTGTAGGGCCTCAAATTCTAATGATGCCCAGGGCCTCGCAGAACCTAGGAACGGCACTGGTTATAAACCTATATTACATAATTGCTGACTGCCGTTATTATTGAATGGAAACAATAATATTATATAGGTATGATAGATATAACAAATATTAATCGAGCTGAATAATAAAAATCCAAGCCACACTTCGGGTTAGACCTTTTTTCGTAGTTATCTTTGGAAAGCAACTAATATGCAACCAACATAACTAAACTAATATTTTTTAGGATGCACAAATTGTGAAGAACTCACAAACCCGTGAGCGAAAAGCCCTTATCGCTATCACCCCAGCATATAATATAATATTTTACAACAACAATAAGTTTGTTAATCAACATCATCATTGTTTGCAAAATTTATGAACAAATATGACTAATTTATAGCTGACTAAATCCAAGACAAAATACGAAATCTTATATTATTATTATTATGAGCTATATATTTATTACATAATCGTTTATGTTTATAATTACAATATCGAAAGGATCAAAACGTGTTGAATATTATATATTATTATTAACTTTAATCATATAACATACAAATTTATTTGTAATAGTTGAATATTGTAATGTAATATTTGTAAAAGTTGAAACTGTAAACAGAAATTTTATAATTAAAACTATATTTTAGAGTTTTAATATAATACGTATAATAATATGTAGGTATAATGTATAATTTAAATTAATGTTGTGCACATTTTTATACTTGCAGTTATATCAACGATCAATGATCCTATTAAAGGATGGATTGACAATTTTAATGGGCCAATTGGACTTATGGTAGCTGTGGGTAAAGGAGTCGTTCGAGTTGCATATAGTGATAAAATGCTTATTGCCGATTATATACCTGTTGACATTTCCATAAAATCAATGATTGTAGCAGCTTGGCATCGGTCACAATCAAAGTATAAATAATTATAATAGCTTACAATTTATATTATATATATATATATATATATTAAGTTTAATAGAATGAAATATAAAAGAAGTTTGGTTTGATTTATTTGAAAGCGAGTTATTTATGGAAAAGTTTAAAAAGATACTTTCTTGCACACATAAGTAGGTACCTATTCAAAATTCGTATACGCTCCCCTCCCACTCAACGATAATATATTACAACTCGATTATAAATTGTTAATAATGTGACGTGGATACATATTATGATAAGTACACTTTTATGTTTATATATGTTTATAAATTATTTGCATTTGAATTTCAAATTTTAACTACAAACATTTTTATTTATTTGTGCCCTAGCATGTTAATTAATGTTTTTTTATTGTTTGAGTTATTTTTTTAAAATAACTGCTTAAAAACTAATTTATATTAGTTATTTTTAATTAACCGTTTAACTTTTATAATAATTGTTATATAGCTATGTAATTATTATTTTCACATTGTTATAAATTGTTTTATGATAAATAGTTTGCCGGAGGATAATCCGATTCCTATCTACAACAGTGCATCATCATCAACGAAAACCGCGACGAATGTAGAAATATTGGATTTTGGTATGAAAATTATTAAAAAATACCCGTTCGAAGAAATGTTATGGCTTCCAGGTGTTATTTACACAACATGTATTTACTACTATTATTTAACGACTATAATCAAGCAAGTCTTGCCAGCTATTTTTTTAGATATGATTTTGTATATCATTGGAAAGCCACCTAAGTATGATTATATTTATTTATCTCTATAAAATTAGAAAATATGAATGTTTCGTTATTCGTTTCAATATCCATTTTATTAGCCTTTAACACTTTAATACTAGTTACCTGTATTAGATTATTACATTTATAATTTATACATTTATGATTTATCGTCACTTATTTTACTGTATACATTTATTATTTCTATGAGTACAAGAGTTAATAAAATATTTAATAATAGGTATGATCTCTGAACTTTGATTGGTATAATAAATTTAAAAAGTCCCAGATTTTTTCTTTTCTTAATTAGATGTGCTTAAAATATTTTTTTTGAATTTTTAATCTGTTATTTAATTGTTTATTTGTTATTTTTAAGTAAATAATAAAATAATTAATATCGATGTGACAATACATTAATCACCATTTTATTAACTATATTAATACGATGATAACATTATCTAACTGAATTGACTATGATAAATTATTAATTAGATATCTTCAAAATAAATATATATAGTTAGCCAAACATTCTTAATTCAAATTTTAACATATTTTTACAATAATATGCATTTAAAACTTATATTTTTGTTCATTTATTATTTTATAACAAAAATAAATTTAGATTTAAGTATCTTTTATTAACTTCGATGTTTATTTTATTTAGACGTTTGCTACTCTTACAACAAAAAATCTATGTAATCCAGATAGCTCTATCTTACTTTACTACGAAAACATGGAAGTTTGAAAACAAAAACTTTTTGGGATTAATTGATAAAATTCCAGATATTGACCGTAAAGAATTTGATTACGATTTTAAAGATTTAGACGTTTTCAAGTTTTTCGAAGATGCAACCATTGGCTCACAGAAATATCTGTTTAATGTAGATATGAAAAGACTTCCAATTGCAAGACGTGTATATAGAAGGTAAGAAGAATTTTAATAGAATTTTGTTTGAAAATTAAAAACTATTTAAGAATTGGTTCGATTTCATAGAATAAAATTGATAACTTGTTTTCAGATTTGTATGGCTGGATAAAGTGTTTACAGTAATCGGCTACTCAATATTTGCATTGTTATTAGTACATTTGTTAATACAATTCAATATAATACCAAGCACATTGGTACACAGCATGGGTTGTTGTTTAAAATGGATTTAATGAAAACCAATTCTAAGCATTACGAGTATTTACTTGTGGGGAAATGTCACTTTTTTATTAATACAGCAAACTATTTTGTATAATTATATTATAAGTAAATTTGGTTTTTTTTTCATTCAACTTATCTAATATTAACAAAAACTTTTTCTTATCAATCATACAAATAATATTTGAAAAACGTATACCTAAACAATATTATATATTAATAATGCACACGTTTTATTTAAAATAAAATATGAATGTAATTGAAAATGAATACAAAATATATGTATACCTATTTATATTACATTTAAAGTATTTTTTTTTTGTGTATTCTTATTCATAAATGTTATGTACAATATATGACATTAAGTATACGATAAATAATGATTAGTTATGAATAAATATACTGTTTAAATAATAAGCATGATTAATATTTTCAGGTACAAATTTTACAGTAAGAACAAAAAAAATAATATACTAGTATTTATTGATCTAATGATTAAATATTTTAGCTTATAAAATTTGAGAGTGATAAATAATTGAAAAATAAAATTATATCATGCCATTTTATACAACAATTTGAAAGGTGATATTTAACGGTAAGAAAATTTAATATGAAATATTTGCACATAAAATATATACTTACAGGGAAATCAAAAGTCAAAAATGTCAAACTATGTCTTAGTTTTCGAGCCTCTATGAAGGTCCTGGGCATATGTCCGATTCGCCATGATCTTAAATAGACCCAGGGTTTTTATAATGTATGTCTCTACAATTATTTACAAAATAAAATAAATAAATTGTTAAGAAAATTGGTTATTTTCTCCTTACAAATCTTTTATTATTTCTATACATAATTGTACTTACCTACCTCAAATTTGTATAAAGAACCGTTGGTTCATGGTTAGATACATATATGGAATATATAACTACCATTTATATTCAATATACATAATAAGAAAAAAATACATAGATAATAAAGATAAAAAAAATTAATTGAAATAATAGTTTTAAATCAGTGTACGAATACCTGCGTAATGCTGCATTCAAGCCTATGCGCAGGAATCGTCTAAAGATGGTTTCAAAATGATTTATGTTATATTAGGTAAAAATTCAATAAAAAAATATACGTTAGAAATCTATGATCAAAAATATCAGGATCGAAAATCAATAATTATCAACATATGTCTTAACAGCTTGAACAGCTCACTTGCCAGTGAAAATAGACAACTATGTATGCATTTTCAAATCAGTTAAATTTTTATAGAATGAAGACTAAGAATATTCTTAGTAAAAATGTATTCAAAAATATCCTCGAATGGGGGTCTTCCTTGCGCACGGGCCAAGCTACATTCATGAATAACCACTATATTTCAATAATTATATGATACAATATTGGAAATTATACAATAGTCATTAATGTCATCAAAATACTAATAATTTATTCATAGCCCATTCTGATAATTTGACGTGACATCATTAAAAGATGATTTGTACAGTGTAAATCAATAATTATTATTTTAATATGAATTTTTGAATCGTGTATAATTAATACAATAACAAATTACTTGATTGTCTTTCTTGGTTTATTAAACTAAATCATTAGGATTGGATATTTATTTATTATTTATCAATATAAAAAGTTTTTGATTATTTAAGATTTTAAAAATTTACTCATACTTTTAAATGTTTTAATTAATTAATTTAATTTAATTTAACTTAATTAATGACACAAATATTGTTTTTGATGAATATAAAAATCAAAAATATATACTAATACGTATTGATATAAGATTTATTTTACTGAATTTTAACTTTAAGAAAATAAGGAATTGCAGCAAGTGAGTGAAAGAATAAGTGGGAGAAAGAGAGAAAGAAAGAAAGACGAAGAGATAAACCATCTTCATGTATTTTTCCTTGATGAGAGCTTTTTTAATGTCTATACTTATACTTAAGTCTTATATATTTCCTCTGAATACTAATCGATTATATATATATATATATAGGTATTAGAAACTATCTACTCGTGGTTGTATAAAATACTAAATTTTCGGAGGAATCTATTGTTACTTGCTCAAACCTGTGACGCGATTAAAAAGTCCTCTTAATAGTTTACTGAAACGATTGGATGCAAGAAGATTCATTATAAATACCTTTATTTAGCTAAAACATACAAGTCTATATATAGACTATAGTAAAGAGTAATATTTATATTTGGTCATAAAGTTCTAGGGAAAATTGTAATCATACCGAGAAAGAATAAAATCTAAAATACTTAATTGCTAGAAACGTATTAGAAACGTAAACCTATCTGTATTTGGTAGAATTGAAAATATCAACAGTAAGAAAAAAATAATGATCAGGTCGACGATTTCTATACTGGATACTGGTTTTCGAAATTAGCAAAAGAAATTTTACATTTTTACTATACAGTTAATTAAATATTATATTGTAAGAAACATAAAAAAAACGAATCGTAAAATGTTTATCACTTTGCTAACAGTTTTTTCCATTGTCAATGGAAAACTATTCCTACTGTAAAATGTGAACAAAACGAAAAATACCTACTTTCTTTCATCCCAAATCACACGCGAAAAACAAAACCACTGTATAAAATATAATTTAATGTAGATATTCATTATTTAAATCTATGCATGAACGAAATTCATGTATACACATATATACATAGGAATATATCTTTTGAATATCCAACCATAGTAAAATATATTTTATTTTCAACCGTTCGAGTTAAATTAATAAAAACCGAACGTTTGGTTCCTGTAATACTTACGTTACTTCGTTTCTGAACATTTTTTTTTCACCTCTTGATTTTTTTCAACCATTATTTTAGTTGAAAAATCATTGTGACACTATGTACACATTTCCTGTGGGCAATCGCGCTCCCCCGTTCGACCTTTGCTCCGCGTTCCCACCGTGCCGTAGTGTTGTTGTATTGTATTCACATTATTCTCATAACTATTTACAACGCGCGTATCGTTCGTCTGCGGGTTTGCCGGTGAGAAGGGGTGCGAAGGAAGGAGGAATTAAAAGGTCGGTGTTCACTCGAGTGACGTTTTCGAGTACGTGCGGAGTTTACCGTCGTCCGAACGCCAGAGAGCGTTTTCTTTTTTTTCCTTTGACGACAACCAAAGCGCGCACACAGCTTCCCGGCTCCGCAGCGACTGCACGTCTCCGCCACTGCGCGTAAGTATAACATCATACTAGCAATATTTATACATATATAGTACGCACGTGACGCGACCCATTAATTTTTATCATTTTATTGTTTTACAAAACGTAATTTAAAAAACATAACATGTGTTACGTGCATTCGGAAAGAAAAAAAAACAGTTGTTATTCCCCGTTAATGTTGTAGGTACCGGGATAATATTATAATACATTATAACGAACGCAACACTAATTATTCAAATAAAAAAGGTACGAAATCAGTAGGTTAAAAACATGTTTATGAACGAACACCTCGCGATTCCTTAAGAAACTCGACGCCGACGCGGTGTAATCCGTTTAACACGAGAGACGACATTGGTTTTTGTATTTTTCCCTTGGAACCGAGAGCCGACATGGAAATGCTCTTGATAACAATATTTCTCTCTCGAAACGCACGCACTAGACGCTTAATATATTTTATTCGCTCTGGCAAGCGTCTTGTGCGCCTTCGGTGTGAAACATCAATACTTCCGCTGACACGCCAATGGGCTTGTAACAATGTAATCATTTTATATCATTACCACGCTCGTCGAGTATTAACAACGGTAGTACTCTGTAGCATCAAGGGGACATAAGCATTGTCAATAATTATCGATCGAGAACGGTTACGCAGCTTGCGAGTAGTTTAATCAGTTGCGGGTCATCGTTATTCGAACCGATTTCGAGACGAATATGAAAAAAAAAAAATAAACAGGTACGACGTGTTTTGTATGGAGGAATTTGTGCGATTGCCGACGCCCTCCCGCCGCGCTCGGCCCACGGGTCACAGCACTTCGCCACGGCTTATGGTCTGCGGGGTTCACCGCACTGATAAGAGCGACTGTGATTTCGATAATTACACTTATGTTGTTAACGATCGTAGCGATCATCACGGCCACAACTGATCGTTATTATTGTTAATGTTAATATCTCATTAAAATTATGTCGTTCGTTTATTCGATGTCTACCATCGGATTCCCGAACGGTCGTTTTGCTGCACCGGTCACCGACTCCGCGACATGACACGCCGTGTCGACGGGTAGAATTTCAAAAACGCTTTAGGTACGAGGGATTGAATTGTTCAGCGTTTGTTCTGCGCGACATCCATGTAACTCGTTTGGTCGACGACACTCGCGGAATGCCCGTGGTGCCCGCCACGCTCGAACGCATAAACCGTTTGTTTATTTATTATTATTATTATTATTATTATTATTATTATTATGTTTTCCCCCACAGGTTACGAGCAACGACGATGACGACTACGACAATCGTCAATTAGGTGAATATCGATACACCGCGTCCTATTTGTGCGCGTGAAATCCTGTCGAACGCTCTTCGAAGGAAAGGCATAACTTTTTTTTAGTTTTCCGTGCGTTTCTCTACACACGCGCACACCCAGACAAAATGCTATTGATTGTATTCGCAACCATCTTGCTTGTACCCAACGATTTAATATGTTCAGCTACCGATCCACTAGCCCGACAGTATGGCAAATTAGTATTCTCTTCGTTGGTGAGTTACTGAATACATTTTTCTTAACATTTAATTTACTATGTCTACTGGTTACTTATCTTGGCAATATCATAGTTTCTCATATAATATTGTTTATTTGCTTTCTTATAATTATAATTTTTAATATTTAATTTTAATTTCAGCTTTATAGACATGGTGATCGAGCAATTACTGATCAATCTTACCCTAATGATCCATATTTAAATAAATCCTACTGGCCCATGGGATATGGACAGTTAACAAATGTAAGTTGTTTATCTTCAAGTAAAACATTATACAATGATCTCAAAAAATAATGAAATAAAGGTTCAAAATATTTATTTTTTTTTCAAGTTATCAACCATTGTAAAGAGTACTGGTTTTAAAATGTAATGTTACGATACATTTTATTTGTACTTTGTATATAACTTGTACTATATGAGTTATTCATTTTGTTTAATTATTTCCCCTTTGGGCATCAATGTATTAAATTTATAAAATTATATAAAATATTTAGTTATTGTATTACTAATTTCTATAGTATTACCTTTTACATTTTCTAACTCAAGAATATAAAATTTTTATTTTACTTGAATATTTAATATGTTTTACATTTTTAGCAAGGAAAAGAAAGACATTATGAATTTGGACAGTGGATAAGAAATAGATACAGTGATTTTTTGCCTGTAGAATATTCAAACAACGATATATACATACGTAGTACCAGTGTAGACCGTGCTTTAATGAGTGCTGCCTCCAATTTAGCAGGATTATACCCACCAAACAAAGTTCAACAATGGAATAATAATGTAGGAAACTTATGGCAACCTATTCCTATACATTCAATCCCACGAGATATTGATACGGTAAAATTATTTTCTGAAATGTATTTTATTTAACTTTAAAGATATATTTTACTTGAATTTGGTATTATTTTTGTGTCTTATTATTTAACTTTTAAATCTAAATTTAATATTTTAATAATTTTTGATGGTGATGCTTTTTAGTATATAAATTAATAAAGATAAAATTATTTTTTAGTCTCTGTCTTTTGGTAATAATTGTCCACGATTTGTAGAAGAATTTAACAGCCTTAAAGATTTACCGTACATTCAAAAGTTTAATGAAAATCATCAAGAATTATACAATTATATAAGAGAACATACTGGACTGAATTTAACTAATGAAATTGTTGATACATCAACTTTATATGACATCTTATTAGTTGAGGTAATAAAAATATAATAACATTAATCCATTAATGTTTATTCCTCACAAATATTCATAGTTATAGAAAGTTACTAATTAACATTAATTTTTTAAATTTGAATAACTACATAAATTGTATTTATAAGAATTATTTATAAATTGTTTATAAATTTTAAATCCATGCTTAGACACAGTTCAATTATACACTACCGAATTGGACAAGTACCATATTTCCTCAAAAGTTGAAAGAAGTTGCAGAATTCTCATTTTTAATGCCAACATCTACTCCATTACTGAAAAAACTTAGTTGTGGTATGTATTCTTATAAAATATATATTTTTTCTGAAGAAACTTATATAATAATAAAAGCATTTCGGTTTGTGTACTCATTATTAAAAACAATTTCACACAATTTTATAATAGAAATTAAATAACTGAATGAAAAAAAAAAACAGTATTATATCTAATGAATAATTTAACAGCTATGGTTGTATTAAAATTATACATTCAATTTTAATTACTGATTTAACATATAATTTTTTAAAATTTATAATCTTAAACACAGAATTAAAAAAAAAAAAGGATCTTATGAATCTTAATGATCAACCATCATAGGTTATGTACACTATTGATAATTTACCTTTTTATTTTTTTATTTTTTAACATTTACTTATTTGTAATTATAGGTACCTATCTATTTAATTAACTTATTTAATTATTCAATTTTTCATACAAGGTTAAAAGCTGGTTATAATTAATGCTAATCTTTGAATATTATTAATAACTTAAATTGTGTAATAAAACTACTTTACAATATGTATGATTATTAATTGTATATGCTTAATCGTTATACTTAATAATACAAAATATTATCCTGTAATCATAAAAAAACCAACTGAAAAAATGTTTGAAATCAATATTCATTTTTCATCACAGTAGGTATTATATGTATACATATTAAAATCTTTTTCAATTTTATTATCTATTAATGTTTCGTTTATAAGTTATTATAGAGTATAAACACATAAAATACTTTAATAAGATTAGTATGAATTCATTACTTATCAATCCTAATAGCCCATTATCTGTTTATACTATATAAACACGTTGATACAATGGAAGAAATCTTATCAAATAACCATAATATAAAATTCATTCTTACAGGCGATTATAATTTACCTAATGTTTCCTTCAGTAATGATAGCGACGGTATTATATTTAACGGAGTGCATTCTGATAAAGTTGACGTAATTTTTGATTATTGCCAATTGAATGATCTTCGTCAATATAACAACAACTTTAATAACTCTGGATCACTTTTTGACTTGATTTTTAACAATATTTTAAACACCCCGGTAACCACAACTAACGACGTCCTAGTTCCTATTGATAATTATCACCCAGCTTTAATAACAGTTCTTGAATTAAATAGTTGAAATTTAATATAGTTTATTTATTTAAATTAATTTTTTTAGTTTTATTTTTACGCAAAAATAAATTCTATCCATATTACTGGTTTTAATTTTAAAATAGCCAACTATTCGTTAATTTGTCGTGAGTTAAACAACATTAATTGGGATAATTTAATCAATGGGGAATGCATAAATAAGGATATTAATTCATTCTATAAATAATATTTGTAATAATTAATAAATATGTACCTAAATTTGTAAATAAAAGAAAATTAAAATTTCCTATATGGTTCAATACTGAACTAAAACAATGTATCTTTTCTAAAAAATCTCTTCACAAAAAATTTCAAATTTCAAATAATCAAAATGATTATCAGTTATTCTCTGATGTCAGGAAAAAATGTAAAATATTAATAAAAGAGTGTTACCATAATTATCTTTCCTACACACAAAATCAGTTATTTCTCAATCCAAAATACTTCTGGAGTTATGTAAAAAAATTTAAATCTGACAATATCATTTTTAGTGTAATGCATTATAATAATAAAGTGTTCGATAATGACTCATCAATAGAAAGCATGTTTAGATCTTATTTCTCATCAGTTTATAATACACAACATTTCTGGTAATAATATAAAAATACCTTTGAATAGAGTAAATTTAGTAGATATTGTCCAATATCGTCCAACAATAACCTATTGTCCAATATCTATTAGTGATGTATTTGATGGATTAACACAACTAAAACTAGACCCTACATCTGGCACGGATTCTATCCCTGCTTTATTTTTAAATTTATGCCGTTATTTTTTAACTTATCCACTAACTTATCCAGTGCACAAACTATTCTCACTATCTCTTAAGACAGGTATTTTCCCAAGTTTATGGAAATCTAGTTATGTTTTACCAATTTGGAAAGCAGGAGGTCGATCTATTATTAGTAATTATAGACCTATTTCTAAACTAAGTGTTCTGCCTAAACTTTTCGAAAAACTAATTGAACCCAAACTATCAGATATATTGAAACATACTTTAATCAATGAACAACATGGATTTCGCAAAAATAAATCTACAGATACAAATTTACTGACTTTTTTTAACTTGTTAGGTATTTTGCGTGCAGTCAATTCAACAGTTCACATTTGTTAGGATAATTCCAATAAAAGTACTCAAACTAAGTTAAACTTTTTATTGAAATATTTCTAAGTATAAGTATTTAATTAAATTGACAATTAAACTAGCGTGAAGGTGCTTGCTAAAGTCGAACTAAAACATATCTACTCTAGGGCCTGTTCGGGACACCTTATATATCCGATGGACGCAAGTGTGTGTGTAAATATGAAAAACAATAATACAAATCAATAATTTCTTATCGATTGTATATGTGTGTGTGTGTACTATTTCCCGTCCAGCCCATAATTAATGACGCAAGGATGTGGTCACTATTGCTTTGATTGTCTATTTCTTATTTTAGATTTCCTGTGTAAAATGACTATGTGATCTACTTATGATTCCATAAGTAACTATAATATTTAACTTATCAACGGATGTGGTTTTGATATTCATTTGAAATTATGTTATTGTTATTATCTAACTACGCAACAATTGTATTATTATAATGCAAATCTTTATAGCATTTATATATATATCTGTAATATTATATAGTAGAATGTATGCTCGTGACATTATGATATGTATGCCCATAACACCTCCGCACAAAAAGAAAGATTTCCAGCCTTAAATGGAAATCTATTACATTTTCCCTAAGTTTTAATATTATGTTTTACAATTTCATTTTAACATGATATGATATGATTTACAATATTTCAAAGTTTACAAAATTTATGTGATTTTACAATATTTAATAATCATTTTTTTTTTTTTATTAATACAATAAATAGTTGATTAACAGTCTATAATATTTCATTAATATTTTTTGAATATAATACGATTAAATTATTCATATAACATTTGAATATAAGTTTTGTTACATTATAATTGTTTACAATATTAATAAGTATAATTTCTATATTAGTTATATAATATTTCAATATATGGTTAGTGTTACTATATAATATAATTGATAACAATATAATTGATTACAAGATTAATTTATATGTATCTTATTCTATTGAGTATATTATGCTCTTTAAACTTTAAATATTAATACAAATATAATTTGTATATTTATTATTTCTTACATTATTACATTATTTCTTTTTTTACATATATATATAATGATAAAATTATTTTAATTAATATCCTATAATAAAAATGAATATCCTAAAATACCGTCATTTGGTATTGGAAAATCTGGATATACTACGTTAAATTCTATGTCGAAATTTTTATTATTTATATTAATTGGAATTGTTATTTTTCCTACTATTTCTATTAATTTTTCATTTATCTTTCATAAATTTATTTTTTCATTTTCATTTACCATTAATTCCCCTTTTAAACAATTTTATTTTATTACGTTAACTTGACTTCCAGTATATATTAGTAATTTTAAGGAATTTGTTTTACTAGCGGTTGATTATTTTATTTTTATTATGTGATTATTTTTTATATCTGAGACGACGATGTGGAAGCAACGTTAATAGGTGGTTCCGCGGCTATTATTTGGTTTATCGAATGTGCTCCTCGAACCACATTCGATCCCAACTCGTTTCCCGAATTATTCTGATTATTTTCATTATTACGTTTGTTCCTATTTTGTTTCGTGAAACATTCACTTTCGATATGCCCGTTTTTCTTACAGAAATTACAAGTTTTTATTCTGGAGTTATAGTTAGTTACCGACCGCGTGAAATTATTTCTATTCGACGGTCTATTATTATAGCTGTTATTTGATTTAACACAACATTAATTTGCTAAATGATTTGTTCGGTTACATATGAAACAACGTTTAATATTTTTATTATAATCATTAATATTATTATTTCCTCCTACCATTCCGTTATTATTATTTTGTTATGAATTTTGTTTATTGTAACGTTTGTAATTATTATTATTATTATTATTTTATTTCTTTATCTATATTTTTTAATATTTTCTCTAATAACTTTTTATTCTTTTATTTTATTTTTTTTCGGCGGAGTAGCTACTTCCGAAGGAGACAGTGTTTCTCTTTCACTATTTCTATTCATATAAATCTATTATTTCAATTATTCTCATATTTTTTCTCATATTATATCTATTTCTTTTAATTCAATTTATCTCATATAATATTCTCAATATTTTATTTCCATTTATTATTCATTTTAATTCAATACTCTCGTATTATATTTTCTTTTCATTCTCAACTATAATTATTTTTTAATTATTTATTTATTTATTTTATATACTCATTCAACTCAATTATTATACTTCTTTTAATTCTTATTTAACACAAGGGGGCGTGTGACGTTTCAAAATATTCTCAATAGTACTTTTAAACTAAATTCAACTCAATTTTTTTTTTTTTAATTTATCTCATTAGTGCTTTTAAACTAGATTCAACTCAATCATCTAAAATTATACGTCACTATTAATTCAATCGATGAAATAAATCATTTACAAAATTGATTTCAAAATATCAGTTGATAACGCCCGTCACCAACAATTGTTATATACTCCCGAGGAATAAATAATTTCATGAAGTATAGCCCACTTAACCGGATGTTAATATCTTGTAATGATATTTCTAATTTTGATTTTTTTCATGACTACGCCAACAAATTAAAATGTATATTAGCTAATAATAATTATTTTAACGATGTATCTTTATTATAATTATTTAAATTCATCTTCTTTTAATATTGTCTAACATATCTTTAAATGTATATTCCGATATTACTGTTAATTTTAATTGTATATATTATATATTTAGTATCTGTACTATATTACCCTTCGAGGGTGTTATCTTATATAATAAAAAATAAAATTACTTAAATAATACCATATAAATCTTGCTTAGAAAATAATTAATAATTAATAATTTTGTAATTTATTTTTTTATTTAGGTAATAATTACTCAATTTATTAAAATTACACCTAATTTATAAAATATTTCTACGATAATTTAATAATTGATTTATTATTTTTAATTTTTAGGGGTGTTGCTGAATGAAATTGTTGAGAATATGAATGGAAAACGAAATGGTACTTTGAACCCTAATGTAAAATTATGGGTATATTCGGCTCATGATACCAATGTAGCTGGATTATTAAATTCTTTAAATATTTATGATAAAAAATTACCTCCATATACCGCTGCAGTGTTTTTAGAACTTAGAAAAATTGAAAATCCAAATGATACTTATGTTGTTACTGTAAGTCAATATTATATTTTTAATTAGGTTAGTGATCTTATATTGATTAATTATGGTCTTAAAGGTATCATACAGAAATAGTAGTACTCATGATCCCTATTTACTTCATGTTCCTGGATGTGATTCAGTAGCATGTGATTTAGACCAATTCATTAGTGTAGTGAAACCACTTCTAGTTACTAATTGGTATGAAGAATGTCAAAAAGACCCTGAAAATAATTTCTTCATTTATATTAGTAAGATATTATAAATTATTTTATAATTATTTTTTAAACATGGCTTATTTAGTTATATTATTCTACTGTATCTACATTTAAAATCTATGTTCAAGTTATTTAAAATTATAATTCGAAAATGTAATTTTCTTTGATTGTGATACATTATATATAATATACCTGATTATTTAAACAGGTCATCTAATTTGTTTGCTAATGCTAATGGTTTAATTTTATTATTCCGTATTAATGTATATTAATATAATTTTATTTTGTTTTAGGTATTATTTCAGTTTTAGTAGCTGTTTCTATAATATTTTTCATTTTCAACAAAAAATATTTTATTTGTTATTGTGGCAGAGATTATCAAAAACGTATGTACAAAAAGATCACAATTTTCTAAGACCAATACGAACGTTTTTTAAGACCATATATCTTACCAGTGTGAATTTATATTGAATTGTTTACAAAAGCTTACTTGTTTATTTACGTACTTAAAAACGTAGTATTTTATTATTATTTAAATTTATTTTATTTTTTGTAGTTTAAACATTTGACATATTTTAAAATCAATACCTTTGTAACTTCAGTTTATAATAAGTAATTAAATTTAAATGATTGGTTAATTTCAAATTCATAGGATCAACTAAACTAATTTAATTGATAGTTCATTTAAAATATTTATCATACATTTTGTTCCTAAAAAATAATATTGAAATAATAATTTTTTCCTTGCTTTATAATATTAAGTTTAAAACACTGTAAAATTTAATTTAACTATTAAATATATATTCTTATATAATTTTAATGAGTTTAATGAGTTGCGTACCTATAAGTTTGTCCATTTTCATTAATTTAACTATCTCATAGTATTGATAAAAACATATTATTTTGTAAATTATTAAATTTTTATTTTTTTTAAAGGTTGTATAAGGTCCTTTAAAGCTGATATTTTAAAAATAAAATACTGAGACTTAACACCTATTAAATTAAAATTTTTTAAAATAATGTAAAATGAAAGATCTATTTTATACTTAAAATATCTATTTCTAATATCTCAATTAAATTTAAATTATTTTTAAAGAATGTGTTATCAATAAATATTTTTATTTTATTAAGTATAGGTAGTTATTATTTATTTTTTTAATTTATTTTTAATTTCAGTTTTATTGGCATGAAGTGAAATTTTTTAATGCATCATGTTAAAATTATTGACTCAAAATATGTAATGAGAAAAAATTTATTTTGTTTTACATATTAAGCATGGTAATATGAAAAATTAGTTTTATATTATTTTATGGGTAGTTTAGTTTTTATTTTATGTGTGCCATAATTAATGTAATATAATATCTTAGATTAGAATTATTTAATTAATTAGTGTGATTATAGCGTTAGTTTTTTTTTTTTATTACTATATAAATATAATTAATTAGAATACACTTGTCTTGTAATATAACTTGTGTACATTTATTACAAATCATCTTATTTATATTGATTATCAATAAATGTATAGATTATAATCTTGAGTTACTTTATATTTAGTTCTGTTTTGTAAATGTATGAGATACATTTTAATCTATTAGTAAATTATTTAATAGTTTGTAAAAACATACATATTTTGAATAAGTATTAATATTATATCCAAAAGTTAAGATTTTAAACATTCACATGATAAATGTTAAATTGCATTTATAACATTTAAAATATTTTTCATCAGGTTACTAAAATAACCAGTTATTTTAACACTAGACAGTTGAGAATTGAGAATTATTGATTAATTATAAAATAATTATTTTTTATAATTATCTAATTGAAATAAGTTAAGACTGTACCAATTATAGTGCACTTAACCTTATTAGCAAAAACGGAATGTACCAAAAAAAATGATACATGCAGCTCCCCAGATAGTATACCGAAAAATAATGTAGCAATTAACCAAGGTGAATAATCTTAATAAATATTAGCTTATAATTTTGGACATTCCATTATATTTATAAATAAGATGGTTAATTATCTTTTTTTCTATTAATTTTATACACTTCAACACAATGTGACGAGTCAGTTAATGGTATATACTGCACATTTCAGATGTCTTGTAATAACATAATATCTCCAACGTATTATTGTTCAAATGATTTATTTTTTTTTCTCCCATATGGATGATATAAATGTTTCAGTGTACCATGCTGTACCTCGCGAAGAGACAGAAACAGTCGACTTCGATCAAGATGGAAGAAGCCGTGTTGCTGTCTCATTTCGCATGAATGGTGTCGAATCAACCTCTGCAGATGTGTAAATAATACGTGCTACATAAAACATAGCAGTAAGGATTTAAAATGTTTGAACAAAGTTTAAGAAAATCTTCAGCATTATTTATGTATAATATGAAAAAAAAATGTACAAATGGCCGATCTCCTGTATTAATATAATAATTAATAATTTTAATATTGGTTTATAGGCAAAATAAAAATCTATAGAAGTAAAACCATGTTAAACTAAAATTATAAAAACTTCAAAGGCTGTATTCATGATATAGTACTTATATGTGGTAAACACTAAGACTAAGCAAATAATTCCAACAATGCTAAGCATAATTAAAGTTCTTTATAAATAAAAATACATCCGACTTAACTAAATATATATATTGTTATACTTACATCAGTATTTAATAAGAAGGCACTGGTACAAAATTTTATTAGTGTAACTGATTCAATTCATACTAGTAACGAAAATAACCAATATAATAGGCCAAAGGTCTTATTTTTTACGTTTTATTTCCACTTTTATTTGAACACGCATAAGTGATAGATTCTTTCAATAATTAATTTGTTAATAAACAATACAAACAAGTGCATTGAAAGAATCTATCACTTATTATATATTTTATATAGATACGCCATTGTTGACCACTAAACAACAAACAATTATTATTTCTTTACATTTTTAATCATAAGTCGTCTAGCTTGTCGTATTTAACAAAAAATAATCTGATAACAAATTCTATAGTAATTACACTTATTTAATTCGTCAGAGAATAAACTATATTCGATGATTTTATTTTTAATTTAAACGAGATCATTGTACTATTTCTTAAGAGTTTGGCTTAACAAAAACTTATCGTTTAGTTATATTTACGTTTTCGTGGTTTTCTCAAAATATCAGGAACATATTTCGAAAGCGACTTGTAAAATGTTTCTAATCAATTTATCAATCTTCATAACTATCACTTGGTTTTCGTAAACCCAATTGTTATGTTATTAACTACATACACACTACAGACAATATTGTAAAATCATTAGGCAAAAGTTTGATTGTTCCGTTTAGAATAATATGATAAGTGAGAGCACGCGATATCAATATTCTTAGCACCGAATCACGATTGTAATCATCTACAACCATTATTTATTATTATACGACCACGCATACACTAATTTTAGCTAATGTTGTAATTCATACATCAATAATGAGTACATGAAAATTATTATTTCTATATATTTATTATTTGAATAAGTATTAAGTATTAAGAATAAGTATTAAATTATATTTTATAAAGCATTTATAGCTTAAATAATGATTAGGTAACTAACTAAGTATTTGATATTCTAACTTAAGTTTTCTGAGTATTCTTTCTGGCGATATTTTTTTGTTATTGAATAACACGATATTTTTGTTGTTTATATATTTTTTTTTTTATTTAAGAAAAATTTACTATCTATGTACAATTTATATAATAAGTAAATATGATGAGATGAATTGTTTATATTTATTGCAAGTTGTGATATATGCCAATGTATTATATAACTCTGGTTTGACTGACATCGATATCTTGACAAATCTGATTGATTGTATCGTCAAAATGTATAGGTACTAATATTACTTTTTGTCCTATTAATTAATTAATGCAAGTGTAAGAGTTTTAATTTTTTCATCAAATATTATTTATGCTAAATATATGTTCATAAATCCATACGAGGAACTATTTAAGAGACTATATATAGTTGTACTCATATATTATGCGTTGTAGCCTGTAGGTATGAATATAATTCTTAAAATTTAGTTACAAACATGTGTTTTAACATTGCTTATAATTTTGCTTACGTTTTTTAAATTATGAGATAATTTATATCAGTCAATGTATGAGCATAACAAAGCTAAAAGGTTCGAGTTCTAGATTAATGGAATTATCAACTGTTTATGAGTAGATATATTTTAAGAAGGTAGCTTGATAATATATTTATTTTTTAGTAAACAGTATGGGTAGGTATTATTCCAGTAAATGTACAAATGATTTTTATACATTAAAGAAATATTTTTATTTTTGCATAGGTGCCAAAATATGTTATCTCGCCCACTTAAATCAATCTCATTAAACATGTTGAATTTATTATTTTCATTACCTACTTATATCTAAGTAATTATTGTATTGGTGATACCTATGCTATTAATACAAATTGACAATCGATATTAATATCGAATATCTATATAACCACACAATTTGATGTTAAATTATGTACTAACACAATTGTAAAATATTGCTATATGTAAATGGTTTATATATATATGTGTGTGTGTGTGTGTGTGTGTGTGTGTGTGTGTGTGTGTATTTATATGTTTATATTTAAGCGGTTATTTATTAATGAAATATAACATATAGGAATAATATGAAATGTTAAAGTTGTCAATATAGTTTATTAAATTATATTATATAAATTATATACTTACATTATCATAAATTTTTTTTTAGAAAATATTATTTTTTTCTACTGTTTTATTATTTCATTTTAAATTGGGAATTTTTGAATTGAAAAAATTTAAGATAATCAATTTAATGAATGTATGTCAGTCACGTTTTATTACACATCTCTTGATTAAAGTTCTAAATTATTATTAATACTTCTCTGAAAAAATAAAAACATAATAAACTACTGAATAGTAGGTATCTAATCAGTCGTAAAACATTTTATATTGATGGATTATTATATCATTTTTTGAGAGTAAATATATCAAAAATTATTGTATACATAAACATATTATAGGTACCTATCTACATTACTTTTATTAAATACAAACATTTTATCATAATGTTTATTACGACTTATTAGTTATTAATTTAAGTTATAATACTTACAGATTATATTATACATATATTATATTATATTATAAACTTAAAATAATTTACCTTTCAATAATAATGTTAATGAATTAAGTTAAATATTCCATGTGTTAATTATAATATTATAAAAATCATATATTAATGGAATTAGAACATAATCAACTATTTTAATGTAGAATAAATAAAATAATGCCTAATACTCCTGTTAAACCATAATTTCGATCACCATATATCAGAAAACTTTATTACACTAATTCATTTCTTAATCTTAAATACTAACTTAATGAAATAAAACGTAATACCTATCATTGATTATAAAATTATGTTTATTTTGTAATCATAGGTATTATTAATCTACATCTCGATTACTTATAGTCAACGCTAAGTGCGTGTACTTGAAAATAAACTCTTGAAAATAATTGATTAAATATTTTTTAACAATGATTAAATTGTTTTTAATATAATGTTGATTTTTATTTTATACTTTTTATTCATCAAAAATATAATAATACTTATGAATATTAATTATATTTCCTGACCATAATTTATATTAGAGTTATTTTTAATTTAATTTATTTTTATATTATTATTATCCTACTGTAATATTATTTTTTCTAAAATCTGTAACCAATTTAAGAATACATACATTTGGAATAATGTCACCAATTTCATTCATTTCATAGTTATTGTTTTTTACGCACTTCTATTATATATATATATATATTCATCATATAAAAACAAAATACGAATTTATAATTTATTTATATTCTCATAATTCGAATTGAAATTAAAATGTAACAAACCAACTACTATATTTTTAATGTACAATTATGAAATATGTTGTAAATTTAAACGTGTATACGATATTTTAATGTTTTTATTGTTTAATAACTTACCTAATATAATATTGTCGTGCAATTTATGTTGTTGAAACGAAAATTCTTATAAAACATCATATTTAAGGAAATATTGAAGTTTATCAATAATATGATAGGTACTTACGTTTCTAAAGCACTACATATAACCAATGGCGCCTAACTCTATTGCTAGTTGTAGTAGCTGCTACACCTAGAAAATAAGAATTGGGTGGGTACTATAAAATGTAAGTTAAAATAATAAACTTGTGATTTATTTATTATTATTATTGTTAATTTTAATATTAATAATATTGTATCATTCATGCTTCATATTATTTCTGTGCTTTTATATGTATAATACCTAAAATATTAAAAAATAATTCTCTTTAAATTTTGAGTTTTTTGGAGTGTGGTTATAATAATATCTTGCTATTCCTCGAAAATAAGTCTGAGGCGCCACTGAATATAACTGAATAAAACTATACGATTGGTCGTCATTATGATATTTAATATGGTAAAAAACAATATAATCATAAACTTCTTCTATTTCTTCTTCATTCTTAGCTTAACGGTCCTTATAGAACCTGAGCTGCCACAAGTACCTAATCCTCTCCACTTTTCTTTGCTCAATGCCATATCTAATGATGCATTTCTTCCCAAAATCTTGATATCTTTCTCTACTGCATCTTTCCATCTCATTCGTGGTCTGCCTGTTGGTCTTTTCTTGTGTATGGTTTCAATAATAATAAACTAATAAATATAATTATAAACGACAGATATTTAAACATGGAACAACTATATTAGCTCTTATGCGATCTTAAATGAACGTCACCCGTGTGTAACAGGTTAATTGTAAGCAGGTTAATTGCCGTGATTTTTGAATCTTTCACGATATTAAAACAAAATTAATGGTATTCAATTGATTGTAACTGTCCGTCAAGTATATTTTTTTTCAATGCTATATTAGTAGGTATTTAAAATGTATGAATTTGTACAACAGTTATTAAAATTTGAACAATAACTTTATATAACAATATACTATTGTATCTATAAACAAAATACAATTTTATAAATTTAATTTTAAGTATAACAAAAGGTTGTACTACATATAAAAATGAATTTGTAAATATTAATTTGCAAATAAATTTAAGTGTTTATTTATGTTTCAAAGAATTGATTTTTTTTTTTTTTTAAGAAATTTATATTAAATCAAGTGTATATTTTAGAGCTTAATATCAAAACTATACTCGTATACTAAATAAGTATTTCTGTTCTGTTCGAATATGTCATTGCTAAATTTTCATTTTTTATTATTTTAGCAATGAAATTAAGAAACATAGTATTTATGCTATCGACTGCAGTTTTATAATTAACACAATCGCAATATGCAACTATTAATATCGGTGCAGCTGAATCAAACGCATAAGTGATACTTACTTATTATTGTTTTTCCTAAGTTCTTA